GGGGGGGAACGTACCCTCAGGATCTTGCGAGAATAGTCCATGTTGTCGTCAATGCTGCCATCACTGAGACGGCGATGAGCCATGACGGGGTCTAGGCGCGAATCCGTCATAGAAATGCTGCCGCTGCTCCCAGGGGGCTTGGAGCCGCTGATGAAGGCATTGACGGCGGCGTTGCGGCGCTGCTCCTCCTCGAGCTCGCTGTTGCGACGGCGGCGCATGAAGAACCACAGCGCTCCGACGGCAGCTCCGGCCAGGACGACACCTGCGACGACACCGCCAGCGATGCCGGCCACGTTGCTCTTGTCGTCATCCTTTTTATCTTCCGCAGTCTGAGTGGCAGAGGCAACGGCCGTCGAAGAGGGAACTTGGGTTGACGATGATGAGGACGAGCTGGTCGAGGTGGATGTCGAGGATGACGACGATGTCGACGTGCTTTCCTCCTCCTCCTTATAGACTGGAGGGTCGACGGTAACACCAATGTTGAAGATGGTGTAGTACGAAGGGCTTCCGATGCCTCCGCAAGCCTCTTCGGGGTAGGCGGGGCAGGGGAAGGAACATTTGCTGTCCTTGACCTGGTATTCGGACTCGGGCATGGCGTAGCCGCAGTAGCAGTTTTGACCGTTGAGGGCGATGAGGTAATATTCCTTTTCGAGACAGTATTCACGGCAGCTACCAGATGAGACCTGAGCGGCCGTGACCTTGCCCGACGTCATGTTTGCCTTGGAGCTGTAGCAGCCTTGCGAGGCAACACCGCCGACGACAGGAGCGGTCGAGGGCGTCTGGGAAGCCGTTCCACGGGCAACCTTGTTAGGAGAGAGGCCAACGCGGCTGGGGCTGTGAGCGGCAGCGACGCCGAGGAACTGCGAGGCAGCGGCCAAGGAGGCGAGTAGGACGGAAACAGACTTCATGGTTGATGATTCGATTTACGAGGGGAAAATGAGCCCAAGTTCGGAAGATTGGGGGGGGTGAGAAGCCTTTCGGCGTCGACGTCGTCGAGCGATATGAATCACCAGGCCCCGTGGAACGACAGCGAGGGTGAGCTGTCGAGAATTTCTGCAGGGCAGTCGAGGTCCCACGAGATCGCAGACGTTCTCTTCGTGATGTCTAGACAAAGACCTGTCAATGCTCGCGTCTCACGGTCGATGGACGGACGTAACGATCGGTCGGTCGGTCGGTCGTTCACTCTTCAGAAGGTGGAGGGAAGAAGGGGGTGGTCAGGCGACGTTTCGAGTCCCTAGGCTGCGCTATGCCGAGGTGGAGGGAAGGGAAAAGGCCAGGAGTGGATGTCGGAATTCAAGCAGAGAAGGGAGGGCGGCCTTGGTGCCCGGGTCTGACGATGATGGGACAAGGAGATTGTTGTTGACTCTTCTCAGTATGGTCGGGGTGAGAAGACATTTGTCCACGCTCAAGGAAGATGGGGAGCAAGGAAGGTCAGACTCTAACCAAGAAGTCGATGCCTTTGGCAAAATGAAGAAGGAGGGACTGGAACGAACGACGTTGCGGTGATGAAAGGGAGTGGCTGACTGTTTTGTTGAAAGGAGGAAAAAGGCGAGAAGGCGACTGGGGGGGTGTGGAAGTTTCGAAGGAGGGGGGGAAAGAGAGGGAGACAAAGAGAGGGAGACAAAGCGAGAGGAGACAGGAGAAAGAGAGAGAGAGGGCAAAAGAGAGGGAGAGACAGGGGAGAGGAGGATTTGGGGGGGGGGGGGGGGGGGGGGGAAGGGGGATATATATATATATATATATGTAGAGGAGAAGTGGGAAGTGGTGTGTAGAGGAAGGCGCGAATGGTTGGTGGCAGAGTAATTAGGTAGGTGCGATCCAGAAAGAGCCCTGTAATACATGTACGACGATGTGTGCTCCGTACTCCATGCTACTACACCTAATGCTGTATCGATATATGTACATGCCCTTTACACCAGGACTGCTATTACTACCTGTACGAGTATATATTACTATTACTGCGTACATGTACTATTGCGGGTGGAAGTAGCTGGACGGGATTCGTACTCAGTAGCACTAGGGGATATTACCGCGTGGAACAATACCATCCGTCTGTCTGCACCGCCTGCGCCACCCGTAATGGTCGCCAACGGCCTGCAAATTGTAATACAGCGCACACTGGGTGGGTAATACGCGCTAAAACGTGCCCGACGAGTGGCCCGTGGCGAGGAGGGGAGGGCAGGTAGACAAAGCGCACAACCCACACAGCGGGCATAACCCCCAAGCTGGCACGCAAATTTGCACCAGACCCTCGTCCATTTGGGGAGGGGGGGGGGGCTACGGAGTAAAAGGGGGGAGGGGTGGTAGTGGATGAGTGGCGGCGGTGGTGGCAGTGGTGACCTCCGTTTAATACCGTAGTATTATTACTCCGGAGGATGGAGTGCCTGACCCCCTGTCCGACGCGCTGAGGAGTATTGTTAATATTATTACATATACTGATATATGTACTCGTAGAGTGCGGGTACATTTCTAGGCTTTCCATAGACTTCTAACGATTCTTCTTGTATCTCTGGACATGTAGACATCACTGCTCACCCGTACAGCATCTTGGAGAGCTCAGAGACTACGAGTGCACCGACCCTGAGTATTGTTTGTCAGTCCAGCTGGCAACCCGTCAGTCTTCAGTCTCTCCGCGAGTAGCTGTACAGCTACCGGTACATGATATAATACCCCTGCTGACCTCTCAGAGCCCCCTGGGGGACGTATTCTCCACTATCAGCCACACCATCCAATGTGAGAGAGGGTCGGCTGGAATTCTTCGCACCTATTGGCTATCTCCGCCTCCACCGTCCCACCGTGTTCTGGACCTGCAGGAACAGAGACGTGCCGCCATATTTACAGGGGGTAGGGGAGGGTATTTGATCCCGGTCTTTTTTTTTCTTTTCTCACCCAATACTCTGTACAGATTACAGAGAACATGGTATTGCACGAGTACTCTAGGTATTATTAATTGCCACGAATGAGACTCGATCATGCCCGTACCCTCTTACGAGTACTATAGCCCTGGAGGCTGTACAGATTACAGTACTCATAGAGATCTAAATATGCTTGTGCATATATTTATATCAGGTACTGAGAACTCATCTCGCACTAACCGCGTACGTAAGTGTAGTCGTGCGTATACCCCTGATTTTCTGCCCCTCTCGTCCTCTCTTACTCCTCTCCCTACTCGTACTCTTCACACCCCTCCCCCTCCCCCATTGTCAGTATCCATTTGGTATTGTTCCGTTACAGACGTCACGTACCGTATCACGCTAACCGATTGGTCCAGTCTTGATACTCTCCCACTAACAGAACCGGCTGCCTCCCTCACCAGATTCCCTCGGTCTCGCTCTGTGCCTCGATACCTGAGAAGCGCCCACCTCGTTTCACCCTGCTCCACAGCAATTAAACTCTCCACTCCAGCACAGTCAGGCACAAGGCCATTGTGCATCATGTGTGCATATATTAATCTACTGTGAGGATCTAATATATGTGCTGCTGCGCCATCCTCTCTCCCTCTAATATCTGTACGGATCATATGTACATATGGTATGATGGTTGACTGTCTCTACATGTATAGATAACCACCACCATCCGTCCACGGTACGGACTGGGTGGGATACCGTCAGTACGTACGAGTATACAGCTGAGAGCATCACTCCGTAGCTCTAACTCTCGTGGCATCGTCATGCACGAGTAGCAGCTGCTGATACGGATATACGACTATCACGTGTACGATCCCGACGGACAACGAAATCCTCGTACCATCACCTCTCGTGAGCCGTTGGCGTCAGCGGCCAGCCGATACGCAGCAATGCAAACAACCTCGACTCGGCCTTGTACACGTCGACGCCTCGCCATGCAGTTGAACCGATTCTTCCGGAGCCCCTAGTCTTGAAGCTTACGGAGCACCGAGCAATAAATAGACGTCCGTTAATTAACCAGCCTGTTTTGTCTCTGTCTCTGTATGCGTATTAATATTTCGTACTCGTAGATATACTCGTAATATTGAGTCTTAACTTAATACCGTATTATAATAGTCCTAGCAGATATCCTGACCAGAAGGATATTTTTATCGACTCACCGAACATGTTGCTGACATGATTGCATCTTCTGGCTTTCAACTTGAATCTTCATTCTTTTACGAGCGCCATGACCAACGGCCTTGGCCAAGGGCCTTGATCAAAGGGGGGGAGTACGACTATCACGGACAACTACTATTACCAATATCAATACTTCGTACTCCGTACATACTCGTACATACCTGTATACCACTGTCTCAATCCACGTGTACTCGTATCGATAATATTAGTGCGTATTGTAATACTTTGCATATATTGTATTATGTATTATCCAGCCTTGTGCTCTGCGATGTGAAATTTTTTGTGCACCGGTACAACATGTACGTCGTATGAACCTTCAAGCCACCTCCATATCCTGCACTCTACCACTTCACTGCGATATTATCATTCATCGCACTCAGTATTATGTATCCGACAGCATCCGATACACGCCAGGCAATGGTCTCCAGTAATAACAATGCTGAATCGATGAGCATTACGTTAGGGTCAAGAGATAGAGAGAGAGGCCATATTTGCCAATAACCGCCAAGTATTCCTAATGCTACAGGTTGTGACTACGAGTACAGATTAGGTTATATGGGTGACGGATAATACCTGTTTCTCTCTCGAAAGCTCTACCAATATTAGTCCTCAAAGTCACAGTTCCCTTTCTAACACGTTCCTTCTTTTTTTTTTCTTTCTATTACTTCTCGCATTTTCTTTGCCCTGCTACTATCCTCCAAGAACTTGCGGCGGTGCTTTGGGCAGCCATATTCTCTTGTCAGTGTCGTCATGGACTGGGGTGCCCATCCGTTGCTGCTGCTGTTACGCACATATCATGACGTGTCCGCCCATCTCGTCACATCATTGTATCACGTACGTTTGCTTAGGCAGTCGTGTCACTATACGGGATTCGCAGTCGGCAGTATGCAGGTGCGGTGACGATGCCTGGGACAAAGGAACAGCATACTTGTCGGTCCATGATTGATCAGATGAAAAGTATAAGGGTTTTTGTACAGAACAGAAAGCGAGCGAGGAAGAGAGAAAGAGAGAGAGAGGGGGGGGGGGGGGGGGGGGAGAAGGTGATGATATATCAAGTACGAGTACGGAGTACATGTGGAAGAAGATGCAAAGACTCTGGTAGTGTGGTATTGCAATTTACTGTACAGGTATGTACATGTACAGGTGGATATACATTTATCTACAGATATACGAGTACATGTATTATCCGCTCTCTGCTACCTGTAATACTCCGTACGTACACACATTGTACATATTATATATACATATATACATATATATTATATATACGGAGCAACGATACTACGGATTAAATAGAACGGAAATAGAATGGTTTCAACGCCACGACTTGGTGTAGACGATAATGCTCATATGTACACTGTAATACCCGCAGTACTCGTAATACTACTGCAGTTAAGAGGTGCGCCGCCATCATCCGAATAATAATATTCCGTACGCGTCTTACGGGGAGGACTGTAGACTGTAGAGCTCACAATAGTTACGGTCCCAGTGAGAGTGCCGTACACAGCTCCTACGAGTACAACTCCTGGGTCCGCACATTACCGAGTAGCTGAAACGATTTCCTCTCCGGGACAGACAGAATTCATGCAACCGCCCCTCCATGATCCATCCAATACGCCGCCCTCGCCTTCCGTTTCCTCCTTCTTCTCATCCTTCAACCTGCTAATAAGCCCTGCCTCGGTTTCGTTCCTGTCTACTCTCTCGTCCAACGCTGATTCACTCTGCTCGCTCGGCTTGGCTTGGCTGAGTTGGCTCTTATGCAGGACGGCGGGCTGTGTTCACTGCACTTCTGGCTTCAATGGCAACCGTGCACTTGCTTTCTGGTGGTAACATCTCCTCAACCGTTGCAGCCTGCGAGTACGGGTGCATGTACACATAATACGGATACATGCAACCACGGTTACTGACTCAATTAGCAGTCGTCAACGGTCGTCGTTCCTTGAAATGATAGCCATTGACTTTTTAATGCCAGGAACGGTGGCGCCGCGAGCGCTCAGCCTCGACTTGACGCGGAAAGGGTTCATTATTGGTGGGTACTGCTCTACGGATAGTCGTAATACATAATATATAAGAGTTCAAATTACGGAGTCTTTGCATCTTGTCGAAACATTCTGAGGGAATATTCTTCTCTCCCTTTTATTTTTTTCTTTTCCTTTATCCTTCCCTTCTCTCTACCTTTTGCTGACATTTCTCTACATCATGTTTCTCCCTACCTCATGCTAAATGGCTCTTCTTTACCTGCAATGTTATCGCTGGTCTGGTAATGACTGCTTCAGCACGTGTTGCCATTCTCCAGTCATGCCGCCGAGAGATACGAGTACGGACACAAAAGTCTGGTGCATGTGAACGTGATGCATTTGTGTGATTCAATGGATCTCTTCTAACTGACAACAGTGTATGATTACTCATCAGCATACATGACCATTTCTATATGATTACCGTCTCCTACGACCAAAAGTCTGACTCTAGTCCTTGATTGATAACTTGGGGCAACCCTTCACCATCCACCACACTACCCCCAATAATCTAGGTAGTATTGAGCACATCCCATAGAAACAGTCAAGATGGGTCACAGACTCCCAGCTGAACGAATCCGTGTCCCTTTCCTACTCTTACCGTGAAACCATCCCTTCATTCCGACGCCTCACACGGGACACAAATAGGATTCAACTCCAGTCCTTTCAACCTGTTGGCATCCAATATTGTATGACTAATCAGTCAGAGGCTGCCGTCGCACGCTCGCATCTCTAGATATATTTCTTCCCTTTCCGATCAATCAAGCACCAAGGCACACACTCGTCAACCCAGGACGTACCAGTAGGCAGAGACCATTGTATTCACGTCTACGGGTCATCGTGTGTTGTCGCCAGCAGGAAGCACACCAGCAGGAAGCACCAGCCTGTGGTACCCATAACTATGCCTTAGCCGTCACTTTCATCTGTCAGCTGCCAACGGCTGCCCACGCTCTTTTATAGATAACCTCCTTCTGAGGCACTTCACTCCGAGAAGAACAACAAGAATAATAGCAGACATCTGCACAGAAGGACTCAACAGACGTTATACGTGAGGCGTAGCCCGTAGCCCGTCTAGAGTCCGGTGTACGTGTCACGGACGCGCAAAACAGCTTCTACAGGGTAGCAGCTTCGGACAGTTGGTACATACGAATCATGCTACTACATGCACTCGTAGTAGTAATTAATATTATTATACCAGGGATTGAACGCAGATAATACTGGGACCTGTGATTCACATCATTTTGACAAGAGACATCCGGCGTTCTTTTCCTCAGCAACGATCCCTTGATAGACAGAACAAGGAGAACGTATTCTTTGTCTTTCTTTTTTTTTTCTGTCAATATGTACTTGTACTATGCTCAAGTTGTCTCGACCCAGATCCAAAGGATTGGTGACCGCCGAATCCGGCTCTGGTCATATGTCACGTGACAGATACTACCCAATGATGCGTCATATCGGACACCGGCATCACATTGGTCCGAAGTCGCCATCCCAGGGTGCCTAGGCGACCGCCCCAGCCGCCCCCCCCCGGGACACCCCCACTCCCCCCAAAGTCTACAGGCTACAGCAGGCTGGTTGCCAGGCGGCCCCGGCCACCTAAGCAGGCGTCAGCCGACCTGTGTTGGAAAGCGTCAGAGCTTCCTGTGTTAGAAAGCGGCCCCCCCCCCCCAAAGCTTCCCGCTCTCGCTCTCCGTCATCATCATCACACAAGAAGCCCCGTGCCTCTTCCCTCCTTCCGCATCCTTCTTCTCCCTCCATCGGCAGCGTCTCTTTTTTCCATCAATCGCCGCGCCTTGCTCTTCCAGCCACCCGCTCTCCCCAATCTGTCAATACTTCCTTTGCTTTTACACTCGCAGACGTTTGCCCATCATGAAGCTCGCTCTACTCGGTGCTGCCAGTCTCTTGGCGGGGGCCGCCCAGGCTGGCGTCCACAAGATGAAGCTCAACAAGATCCCTCTGTCTGAGCAGCTGGTATGTCTTATTCCCCCGTCTGCATCGCCACAGTTTCCCCTTGGGGGTTTGTACAGTATTCTCTTGATGGAAATAGTGAAATGGTCGACCTACCGATACACTGAATGCTGATACTCCGATCCCGCAGGCTGGTCACTCCATCGAGTCCCAGGTCCAGGCTCTCGGTCAGAAGTATATGGGCTCTTCCCGCCCCGAGTCTCGTGCCGACGTCATCTTCAACACTGCACCTCCCAAGTCGGATGGCATCCACCCCGTCCCCGTCTCCAACTTCATGAACGCTCAGTGTAAGTCAACTACCCCCTTCGACCTCGCTCCTTCGGCCTCGTCCCCTCTGATCCTGTTGACCGTCTTGTGTTATCCCCGTGACCTGATCGTACTGACCCACTTCCCCTTTCCCCCCCACCCAGACTTCTCCGAAATCACCATCGGCACCCCTCCCCAGACCTTCAAGGTTGTCCTTGACACTGGCAGCTCCAACCTCTGGGTTCCCTCCAAGTCGTGCGGTAGCATCGCCTGCTACCTGCACTCGACCTACGACTCCGACTCGTCGTCGACCTACAAGGCCAACGGCTCCGACTTTGAGATCCACTACGGCTCTGGCAGCCTGACCGGCTTCGTCTCCAACGATGTCTTCTCCATCGGTGACATCAAGGTCAAGGGTCAGGACTTTGCCGAGGCCACCAACGAGCCCGGCCTGGCCTTTGCCTTTGGCCGCTTTGACGGTATCCTGGGTCTTGCCTACGACACCATTTCGGTCAACAAGATCGTTCCTCCCTTCAACCAGATGGTGAACCAGAAGCTCATTGATGAGCCCGTCTTCGCCTTCTACCTCGCCGACTCCGAGGGCGAGAGCGAGGCCGTGTTTGGCGGTATCGACAAGGACCACTACACCGGCGAGATCGAGTACATTCCCCTCCGCCGCAAGGCTTACTGGGAGGTCGACCTCGAGTCCATTGCCTTTGGCGACGACGTTGCCGAGCTTGAGGACACCGGTGTCATCCTCGACACCGGAACTTCCCTCAACGTCCTGCCCAGCTCCCTCGCTGAGCTCCTGAACAAGGAGATCGGTGCCAAGAAGGGCTACAACGGCCAGTACAGCATCGACTGCAGCAAGAAGAGCGAGCTGCCCGACATCACCTTCAACCTTGCTGGTTCCAACTACAGCCTGCCCGCTGACGACTACATCCTCGAGGTCTCCGGCAGCTGCATCTCCACCTTCCAGGGCATGGACATCCCCGCCCCCGCTGGTCCTCTGGTCATCCTGGGCGATGCCTTCCTCCGCCGCTACTACTCGGTCTACGACCTCGGCAAGAACGCCGTCGGTCTCGCCAGGGCCAAGTAGAGGGCATCTCTGACAAGGTCAATGAGCGCTCCGCGAGTCCCAAGCTGATGAGTCTCACTCAACGAGTCTAGCTCGTATCAATAGCTAGGTGATGTAGCATCCGCTTGTCTGAAAGTTCAATGGGTTCATCTGTGAGAAGGGGGTTGAGTTGTCTGTGCTGGGGTGGAAGAGACGAATCTCTGGTTGTTTTTCTTTACTCGTTTCGGCCGCCGGCCTCCGGTCTGATGTCACATGTGGTATTTGTCTTGCTTTTTCTCCTTCCTCTGATTCCAACCGCTACATACACACACACACACACACACGCACACACACACACACACACGCACACACACGCACACACACGCACACACACGCACACACGCGCGCGCGCGCGACTACAACTGTTTTTGCGATGATATCTACGTCTGGTAGTAATGAGAAGTTCCTTCTTAGCAATCTGAATGCATCTTGCAACCTTTCACAGTTGATATGAAGGGTTAAAGACTCGCGATGACGGTGATACGGTAATTGTACGAGTCTGGCATACATGAAACAAGTGTAGTCAGCTTCTAAAGACGGCATGCTCTATATTGGGAGGGTGGTGATAGTTGTAGTTGTCGTCAGGCTACACTGATTGGCTTCTACTACAGTCTCCTGTATAGGAATGAGGTATTTTTTGAGATATCAATGTATACACCTTATGAATAGTACAACAATGTATTAATCCATAAGGCAATATGTGTGTTGATTCTAGATCGAGAGAGATGGAAGAGAGACAGAATACTATTAGAGTCACTCCATATATGAGGAGTATATTACTCGGACAGTTGAGAGGAAGAGAGAGAGCAAGAGATCACGTGCTAAGTATTGACAGTGCTCACCCGAAATATACTAGTGCTAGGTGGCCTATCAGCGATGGTGCCAACTTTGGGTATCCTGTCTTCTGATGGTACAAGCTGCCAGTGCGTAGACCTCAGTCGAGTGAACACACACGTGACAGGTATCCTGTGTAAACACCTGCCTCACCTTGTAGAAATTCTCGCACCCCCTCGTGCTAAAAAATTCCAAGGCTCCAACAAAGGGAAGGAGCAGAGGCCATTGCACCTACCTGCCATTACCAAATTGCCTGTCAACCACCAAATCCGTAAACTGACGGCGCGTATCGCGACGAAGCGCGGCCGCCCACTCACCTTTCATTCCCCCTCAGTCGAAGACCCTGCCACCCATACGGGAACCAAAAAAAAAAGAATTCGACGACAAGCGAAAGACGCTAAAAATAATCAAAATACGCGCGCGCGTGTGTATGTGAGAGAGCGAGAGCGAGAGAGAGAGAGAGAGAGAGAGAGGGAGAGAGAGAGAGAGAGAGAGAGAGAGAGAGAGAGAGAGATACACCAGACAAAGGAACACCGTCCTCCCAACTCCCGCCTCCCCCGCCCGTGGGAAGAAGAAAAGACGACGCGGGAATGGCGCAGCCGACTGTCATGGAGCGACAGTTCAACGGCTCACAACAGAGTTTTGATGGTGTCACCGTCGCTGCTGCCGACCTTCAGCAGAATGGGAAGAGGAAGCGCGACGGAATTGATGGTGTTGGAGATGATGATGACTCCAAGTCGGCGGTTGGTGGCCATCAGCGGGCGTTGGTAAAGACTTGCTTCGATGCCCTGACCAGGTAAATGACTGTCCTTTCTTCCTTCCGTCCTATCTTCCTTCCGTCCTATTCCTCTCTCGAGATTGAGCTGACCGGTCTTGTTTTCCTCCCAAATATGAAGCTTCGATGTTGAGCCCCCGATTCTGAAGCGTCCCCTGGCTCAAGCTGTCGCTGTCGACAACGATGAACCTGATGCCAAGCGGCAGAAGTCGACAGAACCCTCGCCGACAGCGTCGCAGAGTATCGCCGACAAGGTGGCTGCCAACGAATACCCCCAGCTGTCGGATCTGATGGCCGATGTTGTCGCTGCCGCCAAAGACGCCCTCGCTGCTGCTGAGTCGACACGACAGACGGGGGATGATAGCGATGCCGCCGCTAAGGCGACCAAGAGGCAGATCCGCGATTTCAGAACCAAGGCCGTGGATCTCCTGCGTCGCGAGGAGGCCTACCCCAAGACACCGACGGCGCACCGTCCCTCAACCGAGGAGCAGGGAGACGAGTTCCAGAGGAGCAGGGCTGTCCTGTCCATCACCGGCCACGCGCCCCAGGAGCGCCGCCTCTTCTCCAGTCTGCCTGCGTCGCAGGAGGACATTGATTGGTCCCGGGTCAACCTGCCGGCCGGCGTGTCCATCACGCGCATTGTCCCGTCGACGCCCCAGGAAAAGGTGCTCACGCTCGGCGAGGTGTTTGCGTCCCCGAGGAACCCTCCCCCCCTGTACGCCCCCAGGCAGCCCAAGTCGCACGCCAAGGGCAACAAACTCGACTTCTACCACCCCGAGCTGACGGCTCAGTCGCCGTACCGCGCCAACTCGTACTTCAGCGCCAAGCTGTCTGCGGGGCACTACCTCAATTACAGTCACGCGACGCCAGCGTCAAGCCCGAAGGCGCGCCGGCACGAGCGCCAGCGTAGTCTGGCCGGCAAGAAGCCGTCCACGCGCGAGCTGGAGATGTCGGAGATGGAGGCTCTGTTCCGCGGCGCCTTCTCGAGTTTCGCCCCCTGCAAGGACGACTCCGCCGCCGTGGTGCCCTCTAGCGTTGCCGGCCGTGTGTGGTGGCAGCGGGCTGGGCAGCAGGCCTTCCAGAACATGATTGAACTTGGCTACTACGACGAGGAAGCCGACGATGCCTCGCCCGACGGTTTCGACGAGAAGGCGGTGCAGGAGGCCATCGAAAACTGGGACGACAGTGTCGTGGACCCGACGCTCGAGGATGCCGTAGGGGTCAAGCGCGACCAGGGCGAGAAGGAGGCCGAGGAGATCCTGGATGAGGTCAGCGACATGATTGAGACGCTGGCGTCGTACCAGCGTATCCGAAACCTCAACCTGCCCAACTCGCAGAACCGGCCGACCAGCGATCCCGTCTCGGGCGACATGCTTAACACGTCGGGTCCGGAGCCGTCGGAGGAGGAGCAGGCAACGTACGCCATGCTCAAGGACCAGCTGACGCTCATCATCAAGACGCTGCCGCCGTACGTGGTGGCCAAGCTCAACGGCGACCAGCTCGGGGAGCTCCTCATCAGCACCAAGATGCAGGTATCGGCGGACCAGTACCACGGCGTGATGGAGGAGGACGATGCGGCCATCCAGGCACGCATGCGGGCCATGCAGCAGGCGGCCCAGGCCAGCGCAGCGCGACCACCGACCATGGCGTACCAGAACCAGTACACGCCCAACGCCGCGCAGTACGGCACGCCTACGCGGCCACCATCTTCGCGGTCCCAGCAGCAGCAGCAGCAGCAGTACTACCGCAAAGGCATGGCTCCCAACTACCCTCAGGGATATCAGCAGCAACAGCAGCCCCGGCAGTACACGCCTGTGGCGGCACCGCCGCAGCGCACGCCCCAGCCGAACCAATACTCGCGGGCAAACGGGTACGCGAGCCAGTACGCGACGCAGCTGGCCAAGGCGCAGACACCCTTCGGCCACCAGAACATGCCGCAATACGCCAACCAGCAGCGTCCTCAGTACGCCCAGATGCAGCAGCAGCAGCAGCAGCAGCAGCAGCAGCAGCAGCAGCAGACGCCTCAACCGCAATTAGCAGCCCCCATCAACCCACGGTACGTGTACCAGCAGCAGGGATATCCTCCCGCGCAGCAAGCACACTACGCCAACGGGGCGCAGCAGAAAAAGGCATCGCCGCAGGTGGCACCTCGTCAGATCTACAGTACATCACCCAACATGCAGCAGCAGCAGCAGCAGCAGCAGCAGCGATTCACGCCATCGGCAGGACGATATTCGGCGGCAGCGGCCGTGGCGGCGGCGGCAGCAGTGGGAGGGACCCCCGTACAGCCGGGCTCCGGGTCCCTAGGCTACCACACCGTCATACCGGAGGCGCACCAGCAGCGTATCCTGGAACAGGCCAAGGCGCGCGCAGCCGCCCACGAGAGGTCGTCTGCCATCTTTGGCGACAAGACCGGTGGGTCACCGTCCCCGACGCCTCTCGGCATGGGCGCCACGAGGACAGGTTCCTTCTCCGGCGGTGGTACAGGACAGCAGCAGCAAAAACCTCAGACGCCGACGCCGAGGACTGGAACGCCAGGCACGGGACATATTCCCCTCAAGGTCACACCTGTTCCTGTTCCCGTCATGCCTGGTCAACAACCTAGGAAGCCATCATCTGGGTAGTTTTTTTTTTCTTCCGTTTTTTCCCCCCAATATTTTTTGTTCCCATTATTCTTTCTGACTCGTTTCTTTCTCTAAAAATCTCTTTTCTCTCTCTCATTTTTTTCCGGGTAGAAACAAACCCGTGCTTTCTTGCCTCTTTTTTTCTATTATTCCTTTTTTTTCCCTTAAAAAAAGAGCAAAATTTGTAGGGATGGGTGGATTAATGTTAGATGCTTATACGGGGCGTTTTTTTCATCTCTTTTCGTTCTAGTCGCGTTGTATCATCAATATCAGTTTTGTGTAGATTCCTTAAAAGCATATGTGTACATTTGAATGACTGTCGGGATAAGTAGTGTTTCATCAAGTATGTGACAAGAAGCGAGAAGGACCTCAGAGACATATACAGAAAATTTTATTAGGTCGGAGCGAATGGTGCATGGACATCGAGCGAAGCGAGGAGGACCCCCCGGTAGGGCCGCCGGAGGCATAATCAATTCATCACAGATAGTATTCTTACAGAGTAGGGTATCAAGTCTAAATAAGCATACATGCATATCCAAGTCTAAAGTGTATGCAGAGTACAAGTCTAAGCGGTAGCGGAAGCAGAAGCAGGAGCGGGGGGATGGGGGTCAGCAGGCTCCGTATACTCGAGATAGATGCGCCTCAGCTCAAAGACGACCTCGACGGTGATGAGCAAGATGATGATGACCTCGAGACGGGTGCCGTGCTGCTCGGAGGACATCTCGCGGAGGACGGTGGCAATCTCCTGGGCATAGTCCATCTTCTGGTTGAGGGTGCGGATGCGGACGCTGACGTCGAGGGCGCGGCCGACGAGCTCGTAGTAGCCCTCGAGGCCGAGGTCGGCCCTGCTGTCCCAGAGGATGTCGGGTAGGGAGTCGGTCAGCTCGGAGTAGTGGTTGAGGCGGGCGCGCAGGTCGAGCAGCTCGCCGGTCTTCTGGAGGATGAAGCGGCGGCCGAAAGGGAAGCCGCTGCCCCTGGAGAGGATGGCGGGTATCTCGCGCGTCGACTCGAAGTAGGCGGTCAGGGCCGTCTCGAGGACGGCGAGCTTGGCGCTGCGGGCCAGGCCAGACGAGAAGGCTACCTTGGCCAGGGTGGTGTCGAGCCGGTCGCCGTCGCTGACCTCGCGGCGCGTGCCTAGGACGACGACGTCCCCCCTGACAGTGCTCGACTCGCGGCTCGTATCGGTCGTGAACTCGAGGTCCTCCAGCTCGCGCAGGTGCGGCGGGTGCGGCGGCCCGCCCTGCGCGGCCCGCAGGAGCTGCCGCGTCACCACGTCGGCCGGCAGGGACCACGTCACGACGGTGCCGGAGGGGAAGACGAAGATGTCGCCGCCGTTGACGCCGCGCGCGTGGACCACCTCGCCCGCGTCGAAGTCGATGCCGTCCGGGTTGATGGAGAATCCGTGCGACGTCAGCGCGTCGAGCACCACGGCCATGTCGAAGCTCTCGGCCACGCAGGTGGCGCTCATCATATTGGTGCCGTCGCCGTCCTGGACCTCCTGCGACGCTCGCTGGCCGGCCTCCTGCTTCGGCTGCTGCTGCGCTATCATGGCCACCCGGCGGAGGGAACCCTTGGTTGACGTGGCCCGCGTGGCCTTGCGTTTGGTCCGGTGGGGTGAGCTCTGCTGATGGTCGTTTGTCGGGGTGTACGTTGTCGAGGCGTCGACACCCCGGTGCTCCGCATCATCGCCATTCTGTGACATGTAGGTGTTGGAGGTGAAGAAGTTGCGCTTTCGTGGCATGTAGCACGGTACACTGATATGGAGGGACCGTCGGGGACGTGGAGGCCCCGTCATGTAGTGTCTGGCCGCATGGACCGTGATGCGAGTGGCGGGGGGTTTCATCCGTCTCGTCGTCCGGCGTCAGAGGATGTCATTGATTGTTGTTGGAGAGACCAAGCGCGAAAGAAAAAAACAAGTATATTTATCTGGTCAGAAGCTGATGGTTGTTTGGCTGTTCCCGGTGAACTTGGAGGCACATGGGTTGTTATGACATGGACAATCTGCTGCCGCTACTGCTTTGGTGCTTTTCTTGTACCGAGTATGGGATATTGGGAGTAGTGGTTGTAGACTTACTAAGCACATATGTATCGCTATCACCACGTGATTGAGAAACGTGCTTCGATGCGTAAGTCGAGGAACGAGGGAGAGAAAGGCGCTATTCCCGTTTGGGATAATATCAGCGCTCGGATGTACCTGCCGCGGGGCACTGAGTGTAGGTCTGTTGGTCTGTCTCCCAAGGCTTTAGGCCACTGCATTATTACTGCACCCAGGTGCCCAGCTGGGGATCAATCAGGGGGCTTCAGGTAATCCTCACAGGCCTACACCCGCTATAACGACCCCCCGAAAGAAGCAATTGCCTCCAACTACAGGTACGGCGGCATTCTCCATCCTCTATTTTACGGAGTAGAATCATTGGAGTTGATCAACAACTTGCTTGGGTCCCCATCCACCGCCTCTCCCCTTTTTCTTTCTCTCCTTCTCCAAGAAGTAACCTCTCGTTCTTCTTCTTTCCTTTCCTTCCTCTCTTCTCTCTCTTCCAAAATTCATTTCCGTCTGCCACACCTCTTCTCTTCTCTCCTCTCCGTCTCAACTTTTGCCACCCCTCCTCCCCCCCTTCAACCCCTCCTTGTCTCGGTTGCCTCCCCCACCAAAATCTACCACAATGGAGCTCGATCCCAAGTACGACAACTACGACTTCCCTTACACGTCCGACGTCAAGCAAGATGGCCACGCGGGACACCTCACGCCCGAGCAGATTGCCCAGGTCAGCCAGCTGCGCATGATGCTCGAGTCTGAGGGTCTGACCAAGCGCCTGGACACGTTGACTCTGGTATGACGATATCCCCGCGGCAGGAGAGGAAGATGGCGATGATGATGGAGATGGGAAAACTGACGACTGTCCTCCTATACAGCTTCGATTCCTCCGAGCTAGGAAGTTTGACGTCGAGCTGTCGAAAAAGATGTAGGCAGACGACCGGCCTTGTATATATTCGTCGCCCGAGTCTCCTAGCTGACCACAGGCTATATAGGTTCGTCGAATGCGAGGAATGGCGCACCAAGACCAAGCTTGACGAGACGGTTCCTACTTGGGACTACCCTGAGAGGGCCGAGATCTCCAAGTACTACAAGCAATTCTACCACAAGACGGACAAGGTGAGTTCTGTCCTTCCCTTGGACGACGAGTAAACATACTCGGCTTTCCCCGCTTCTCCTTCTTCTTCGACGTCGCTCTCAACTCTGACATCCTTGTTCTCTCTCCTCCCTCAGGACGGTCGCCCCATCTACATCGAGACTCTTGGCGGCATTGACCTGACGGCCATGTACAAGATCACGTCTGCCGACCGCATGCTGACCAACCTGGCCGTCGAGTACGAGCGCGTGGCCGACCCCCGTCTCCCCGCCTGCTCGCGCAAAGCCGGCAAGCTCCTCGAGACGTGCTGCACCATCATGGACCTCAAGGGCGTGACCCTGACCAAGATCCCCCAAGTCTACTCGTACGTCAACCAGGCGTCAGTCGTCTCGCAGAACTACTACCCCGAGCGCCTGGGAAAGCTGTACATCATCAACGCCCCCTGGGGCTTCTCCACCGTCTGGAGCGTCGTCAAGGGCTGGCTCGACCCCGTCACCGTCTCCAAGATCAACATCCTCGGCTCAGGATACAAGTCTGCCCTCCTCGAGCAGATTGATCCGGCCAACCTCCCCAAGGCTTTTGGCGGAACCTGCGAGTGCAGCGACGGCTGCGAGAACTCGGACGACGGTCCCTGGAAGGAGGAGGAGTGGCTCAAGCCCGCCAAGCAGGATGACACTACCATTGAGAACAAGGGCTCTACCATTGAGACTCCCGAAGAGAGCAAGTAATTACTTTACCTGCTCTTCTGTCTTTCTTAATGTGTTTCTTCCCCCTCTTTCTGCTGTGTGCTCCAGCTAGCACACTTGGAAAGGAAGAAGATATTAAAAACAAAAAGTAGCCTGTTCAACAAAGCCCCCTATCAAGCACCAACTGCACTCTCCCTCCATTCCCCTGTCTGTTGTTGTTTGCTGTGTTGTTGGGAGGCGTATAACTGTTTTTTCTTTTTTTTTCTGTTTCTTTCAGATTAGGTTGAATAAGGTGTACGAGGAGCGAGTATATGTTGAGAGAGTTGGGTTTTAAGGGACAGGGAAGGGGGGGGGGGGAGAAAAGGCATGTTCTTAGAGGTCAATTGATAGGAGTGCTTTGACAACAGAATTGAACTTTTCTCAAGGAGTAAATGTGATTTGAAAAATTTCCCAGAAGACATGTTCCATACCGCAGACGCCTATAAACCAACAGTGCTATATGATGTCGAGTGCTGATGATACAAGAGAAAACACCGAGTGACGGCCATCCTTTCAGAAGAAGAAGGGAACAGATCACTGATCGACGACATACTGTCCGGCAACTCTCGCCCTCTCCATCTTTGCCACGACAGCCGACATGTCCGACTTCAAGCTGGCCAGAGCATCGACAGCACGCCTGTACTCGTCCTCGACGGCCCCCTGCCTGTCAAAGGGCTCCAGCTCGACGCCCGTCCGCGTCTGGACCTCTGTCGAGGCGTCCGTCGACCCCAGCTCCTCCAGCCTGCTCCTGACGGCCCGCAGCAACTCGTCATCGCGCCGCATACCCTCCCTCAAGACGTCGGCCTGAGCCCCCGCCGCGTTGGGGGGAACGCTGCGCTTCAGGCTGGCCACCTCCTCCAGCAGCTTCTCCTCCTGGGTCGTCAGGTCCGCCACCCTCTGACGTTTCCGCGCGTCAAAGGGCTCGTGGGCTACGGGGGGATCCTTGTCCTTGTCCTTGCTCTTGGACTTGGACTTGCCGCTGCCCTTTTTCACCTTGATGAAATCTTCTATCTGGACCGGTAGGCCGTTGATCGAGAGGTTTGGTGTCGCCAGAGCAAAGGTCTTGTCAATGTACTGTTTTATTTTTATTTATTTTTTAATATTGTTTTGTAGAATTTCAGCAGTGGTTTTTTTTTTTCGATGAGTAAGGAGAAAGGAGGAAGGGAAAAAGAAGGAAAGAAAGAAGGAGAGAGAGAAATACCTCATTTACAAGTGCCTCTATCTGTGTGCGCAACACATCATCACCTGCTCCGTCGACGGGGGGGAACGCCTCGTTTAGACGCGTCGCAGCCGCGTTGCGCACATTGCTGATCAGATATGAAAGGTCCTCGGGGGTCTGCAGCTCAATCTTTCGCTGGACCTGGGATGTCAAAGATTCTGACATTCTTAGCCTCTTCGTCCACAAGTTTGCCTTTTTTTCTTTTTTCTTTTCCTGAGTGTTCCTGTCGACAACTGGTCGTTGCCGTCCAAACCCCCCACGTTTGTTGGTGTTGACCAGTTTAGTGATAATCGTCAAGTCCCCCACCACCGTGACCCCCCCCAAAAAAAAACATCTCCCGATAGATGACTAATCAGATGCCAAGTTACGTCATCCCCACCAGTGTTACAACAACCCCACCAAGGACAGTGTGCTAGGACGTGGCGGTGGTGATAGCATTACTGGTATTGGTAGCTGTAACAGTGTTCTACTGAGCGGTAGTAGAGAGAGATTCCGGGACAGAAATGGCATCCTTGTGAGAGAAGGGGAGAGAGGTAACACTGCTAGAGAGAAGGGAAGGACTGCTGTTGCTGTACCTGTACTCGTACCTGTTGAACGGCTCCTCGTAACTACTCATCATAATACAATACTCCCACCCACTCGATAGCCGTGCCCACTGTGGATCTTTCCAGGTTCTCGCGGCGGGGCGCGGCTAACAGCCGCTTTGGATATGCATCTTGGTTGGGTCCGCATGGTGGTTGCAACCAGCGCTGTAGCTGTCGTTGTGACCATCGTTGTAACGACGTAGTGCATAGTGGACGAGGCGTGCATCCGTCATAGTGGCGCATACGGCTACTACTAGTGATAGATATGGGAGAATCAAGACAAAGAGGGGAGAACGTTTTATAAGAGACTGGAAAAAAACATCCCAAGAGTTGAAAGAGAAACGCCCTAGGGATCAACACCTAAAGAACCAACAGCCCAAGACCTTTTCCACGTGATTGGCCGCATTTTTTGAGGTCAAGAAGATACCAGACAGCAGTCCAGAGTCCATATTGGGCATCGTCGGGCTCTGACGAGAACAAAACAAAAACCGAAAGAAGAAGAAAATAAGCAGTAGACAGATCCCATTCCATAGTACTCCGGCAGTCGTCACCACCTATACGGTAGTTTCATTCATGTATAGCCTAACGAGGGCAAGAAGAAGAGAAAAGAAAGGGGAAGAGAAGCGAGGCTGGCTCGTATGAAGAATATGAGAAATACATGCGTATGCGGCAGCGTGTGCATGACAAGGGATTCACAATCATGACGCTATTGGGGGAGCATCTGCTTCAGCTCCTCGTCAGTGAGCATGACTTCGTGAACGGGGTCTCGGAAGTTTTCGAGGGGTACGTAGTCGCAGTCAATGTAGGATGGGAGAAAGATTTCTGTAGGAGAGGGAGGGGGGGGGGACTGTTAGCTGTTATATAGCCCTCTCTGGAATCATGGTCATGAGGAGTGATAGGCCTTACCTGGGTTCCAAGCGAACCCCTGGCTGGAAGAGAGATACGTGATCAATCGAGGCGGACCATCAGGGTCCCCGATATTGATGACGGTAGCTTCTTGCTTGGAGATGGAGGAGCCTGCGGGGGCGGGGGGAGTCAGTATAGTGGGAGGGAGTAATAGAGACGGAGAGAGACAGGGAGAGGGATGGAGGGGGATAGAAGCATACTGAGAAGACTGGGCCTGCGTGAATGCAGCATGTCCCTCTTAGGAGGTGACGACGCGGTAGGTGAGCGTGGCGAGCTAGAGTAGGAGCTGTCGGATGAGCTGGCTACAGTCTTGGGGGAAGGCCTATAGGCGTTGGGAATATCGATGGACGAAGACATTCTGCCAAACCGGTCGTTCAGGCGAGGGGGGGGGGGTTTTCGAGACACACGACACACAGGAGAAGAGAGGAGGTGTTGATGATGAACCGCCGTAGGTGGTGGTGGTGATTAAGACGTGGGTTTGCAGTAGAATAGAAGAGAGATGGGAGATAAGGACGAGGACGAAGACGAGGGAAAGATGTTTCCTGGTAGAATAGAAAGAAAAAAAAAAGGCGGACAAGGACGGTTTGTGCTATGTGCGTGTTGTCTGGCAGCTGCGGTTGGGTTGCTCAGGCAGAATGACAGACGCCTCGGGGGAGAGATGACGCATGGGGGGGTGGTCAGTGGGGGTTGAAGAGACGAGATGGTGGGATAGAGAGGGGGGCCAGATTGTAGGAGCAGCAGGAGTAGGAGTAGTAGAGTTGGAGAGTCGAGAAGGGTACATGTAGAAATACGGTAGATACAAGGCTGGGGAGAGTCAAGAGGGCACAATGTAAAAGAGAGAGAGTTTGAGAGAGAGAAAGAGAGTTTGAAGTGACAAGGTTGGCCCAGGTTGTCCGAGATGAATCACCGCCATATCACGGGATTTGGCTTCTGGTCCAGCCTCTGGTTCAGCCTCTTGTGGCTGGAGGGATAGAGCCGATGTCCGGGAGGGGGTGGGATGCTGATATTCGTGGCAATAGTACTAGTGTTGATACTAGTATCATTACTCCGTACTCATATAATCTGTACTGTCTGTCTGGTATGATGTGTCGTATGAGAGCTGAGAGTAGAGCATGACAAGCTGAATGTTAGTGCTTTAACTGCAGTTCGAGTAGAATGTAGTAATATGATACAAGTACCCCCATACCTCTCTCTACACACTCATACTCTCGTATTACTCCATATGTGTGTACTTGTATATGTACACCCCGAATACGGCAAGGTCTATCTTCTGCTCCTGTCTCAGCCAAACCAGAAAAATCACGTGATCGACCCCCCGATAAAAGATGACTAACTAATCTCCAATCTTACTCATCATATTCCCCAAGGGCAGGCAGAAGCAACGCCAGGCTGCTGCGTTGACGACACCGAGCTGTTGGAAAGAAAGCCTGTTTACATGCAGCATCATCATCAAAACCATCACAGCAACTCGCCCACATTTGTAATATCACGCCCACGACGATCCACCCCGAGTCTACGATTACACCACATCCCTCTCCCCGGATCAACCAACCACTCCCTCCGGCGACTCTGCATTTTCTTTTGAACGGGAAAACACCCCAAGCAGCTTCTTCTGCCTGCTTCATCTAGCTTCTTGTCGGCCCTTTCCCTCCCTCCCTCAACAATGGCCGACACGGCAGTAGAAAGCTCGGCCAACCAGGCCCCCCCTCACAAAAAGGCTACTCCCTTGGGCACCCCTACCGTCGACAACTTTGAGGGTATCCCCATCGATGGAGCCGATGAATATGCTTCTCTCAAGAAGCTTCAAAGGCAGTTAGAGTGGGTTCCCCCCCATACTCTATACCCTCTCCTTCCCAAGGGCCAAGCTGACCACCGAAAAACAGATATCACCAGCTTCAAGAAGAGTACATCAAGGATGAGCAGAGGTATGTTCCTTCTCATCTCTTTACATTCAGCACACTGCTACATATCAATACTGACCTCACAATCCCAGGAGCCTGAAGCGCGAACTAGTGCGCGCACAAGAAGAAATCAAGAGGATCCAGAGTGTTCCCTTGGTCATTGGACAATTCATGGAAGCCATCGATCGAAAGTACTTTACTCTCCCCTCCCTCCCCCTCCTCTACCCGCTGCTGAAGCCCCCCCCCTGCTAACGTGCCCGGCAGCACTGGCATCGTCCAATCGAGCACCGGCTCCAATTACGTCGTTCGCATCCTGTCTACGCTCGACCGCGAGCTCCTGAAGCCGTCATCCTCGGTCGCCCTGCACCGCCACTCCAACGCTCTAGTCGACATCCTCCCACCGGAGGCTGACTCGTCCATCGCCATGCTGGGGACCGACGAGAAGCCCGACGTGTCGTACGCCGACGTCGGAGGACTGGACATGCAGAAACAGGAGATACGCGAGGCCGTGGAGCTGCCCCTCACCCACTTCGACCTGTACCACCAGATCGGCATCGACCCGCCGCGCGGCGTCCTCCTGTACGGCCCCCCGGGAACGGGCAAGACGATGCTGGTCAAGGCCGTGGCCAACTCGACGACGGCGAGCTTCATCCGCGTCGTCGGCTCAGAGTTCGTCCAGAAGTACCTGGGTGAAGGCCCCCGCATGGTTCGTGACGTCTTCCGCATGGCCCGCGAGAACTCCCCCTCCATCATTTTCATCGACGAGATCGACGCCATCGCCACCAAGCGCTTCGATGCCCAGACCGGCGCCGACCGCGAGGTCCAGCGCATCCTCCTTGAGCTCCTCAACCAGATGGATGGCTTTGACCAGACCGCAAACGTCAAGGTCATAATGGCCACCAACCGCGCCGACACCCTCGACCCCGCTCTCCTCCGCCCCGGCCGCCTAGACCGCAAGATTGAGTTCCCCAACCTTCGGGACCGCCGTGAGCGTCGCCTTATCTTCACCACCATCGCCTCCAAGATGAGCCTGGCCCCCGAGGTGGACCTCGACAGCCTCATCGTCCGCAACGACCCCCTCTCGGGCGCCATCATCGCCGCCATCATGCAGGAGGCTGGTCTCCGCGCCGTCCGCAAGAATAGGTATAACATCATCCAGTCCGATCTCGAGGATGCCTACTCGGCACAGGTCAAGGGTGTCCAAGAGGACAACAAGTATGACTTTTACAAGTAATCCAACTGTACTTACTATCCTCTTTTTTTCTTTTATATCATAAATTTAAAGAAATCCAATCTACAATTACACACAAAACAGAAAATTTGACTCTTGACCGACTTGAAACATTCACCAAGTGACTACATACATATATGCGTACTGAGTACTAATTGTGCTCGGTCATTAGAATTACCAAATTGCTAAAAGTCATCAAGTTTTTCAGGTATCATGGTCTATACACTTTATCCCTTCCCTTTTCCGTTTCAAAGAACAAAGACAGTCACCAATTTTCCAGGTGCGAAAGCAGAGAAGAAAAACAGTTGTCAAAACACCAGAGGCAATGCAGAACTGCAATAAACAAGAGTAACAAGAACAGAAAAAAAAACAATGGCCATATAACAGAAGAAAAAGGGTATCAGGTCAGGTGAAATGGCCAAATTTCACCAGTTGCAAAAATAAATACAAATCACACAATAACAGAAGCGTCTGACAATATCAACACAATCGGTACGTCCCCGACTAAGAATTCAGTGTCACGCCAACTTCAAACAAGAGCTGCACAAACTTCCTGTGAAGCTGGATGAAAAAGTCGGGCTGACCAACCAGCTCCGGCAGACTGCGAGCCTTGGGGGCAGCTCCACCTCCACCGCCTTTCATACGTCGGGTGAAGCCTCCGCCACCGGTGAGGAAACTGCTGCCCGACCTGTCGGCCGTCAGAGGGGCTGGCCGTGTCGTGGCATGGCTGACTCCGGAGCCATTATACAGGGCACCCGTGAGTGGGGAGGTCTCGGCAGCACGCTCGGCCTCGGCCTCAGCCAGCTGCTGGATCCAGTTTGCCAGCTCGCGGAAGGCGGCCGAGACAATGGCAAACGTCTTCATGGCTAGGCGTTCCTTGTGGGTGCTCAGGGCCAGAAAGGCGTATATGCGCTTGTGGCCGCGGGCGTGCACATCGGGGATGCGGAAGATGTAGGCAGTCGTGTAGCCAGCCAGGGCATCTCCAAAGAAGATAGGTCCGCCGGACACGGCCGATCCAGCGCTCTGGGTGGTGACGAAGGAGCCGGTGGGGGAGAGGGGAGAGCTGGCGGTGCCCGGGGGCGCGGTTGGGGCACGAGGTAGCGTCTCAAAGGAGAGGGTGCGGAGGCACGAGGCGCGTAGGAGGGAGAAGGAGTTAGGTAGGAGAGGTTCATGGGTCGAGGTGTAGTCAACATAGTGCACGTGGAAGGGGGCGCTCTCGGACACGGTTGATGAGCTGGAGCATGAGGCGGTGCGGGAGACCGACGTAGGCGTGGATTTCCTATTCCGCATACGGCACGGAGCCTCTCTCTCTCCATCTGTGTCGCTAGACGTTTGCGAGTTTGGCGGGGACGCTTGGCCATCAGTTCCAAAGACACGCTCAGCAGGGGCACGGGTCCTCAAGGTAGGGCGCACGTTGTTGTTGTTATTGTTGTTGGACGAGCCGTCTTCGTCGCCCGATGCGGTCGTCGAGCTGTTGGGGAGGACCATAGCGCAGTTGTTGCATGGGCCTTGCTTCTTGGTGACCGAGTCATCATATGTCCTGTAGAAGCTCGAGTCGCGGCGCGCGTGAGGGGCAGGAGGATGGGACTGGTGGGGGCTCCCAGGGGGTGTGTCCAGGGCGTTGCCATTTTCCGCTGGCGTTTGTAGCAAGGTGCCCTCCGGCCGGGATTGCTGCCGAGGGCCGGCTGATGTGGGGCCCGAGTTTGTGAGGGAACCCGAAAGAGTACGGACGCCGTTGGCAACGTCGTGGGGTGAGGACCGCTGGGCGCTCAGGGGCGGGATGTGCTTAGCGAGTGTATCGGAGCGCGCAGCAAGATCATCGTAGCAGGTGGTGCATGAAGTCGGCAGGCCCTCTGTGGCCATAAGAGGAGTAGGACCATGAATGTCGCAGTAATGTGCGAGAGCGAGCTGGAGGTGATTGATTAGTTTGAGAGTCTTGCCCATGGTGCCAGTTGTCAAGTGATGAAAAGCCGCTCAGGCAGGCAAGCCAAACAAGTCTTTGAAATATTCGAAGAAATAAAAAGAGTCCAACAGGAAAGACTCTAAAAGGATTGAGCCAAGAGCAGTGATGAGAACAATCGTGACTAAGAGTGATGTTTTTGGAGAGGTTTTGGGTGTTATCGGTGTTGGATATTGTGTGACGACACGGTGCATAGGAGTCAAATATGACGGGCGGTCTGAAAGCTCTGGATGCAGATGCGCAGGGGTTGGGATATTAATGGCATGCCGAAGAGGACAGGGGGAGGGGAAGGGAGGAAGAAGAGGGTGAGAAAAAAGGTAATGCATATTTATATAGGATGAGTTGAAAGAGGTGTGGACGAGTAATACGCTTGACTCGCAAAAAGGAAGAGAGGGAAGAGAGTGTGAGGAGGCCGGGGAAACGAGCCCTGGAGCTTGGGCCTTGCCATGGGCATGGGCCTAGCCATGATGGGCCTGGCCACGGCTCATAACCCAGTCCAAGATGGCCGCTGAAATGATGCCTGTAGTCATCAATCAAAAAAAAAAAAAAATAAAGGGAGAGAAGAGATAACAATGAGGCGACAATCAGGACTAAGTCACGAGCCGTGACATGTGTGCGCCCGGACCCGTGGGGTGAACAAGAACGAAAAAGGAAAATCATATGGGGAAGGACAGGCGAATGAGTAAGAAAATAGGTGTGAGCGATAAGATGGGTAGAGGAAATGGGGCAGAATGGACAACAAAGCAAACATGTGAGGCGGTGTGTGAGAGTGTGAGGGTGAGTGTGGTAGAGTCGGGGGAGCAGAGGATTGGACCTGGGGAAGGACAAAAGAATAGAGTGCCAAATAGAGGTCAACGGCCACCGACCAATGGATCAAGGAACATATGTAAGAGTTAACTCAGAAAAGAGAGGTGTAGAGGGTGTGAAGTTGTACGAAGTACAGTCGATAGAGTCATACTACTGGTAATGACTCGGTAACAGAGACCATCGGGCATCGATCGAGGCGGGAGGTGGCATGATGCAGCAAGGACCGGATGAAGCTGTGGGACGAGGTCCGAGAGCAGCTGTGCACGTCCAAATGTACATCAAGTGTGTGTCTCTTCTTTCTCTCCCGTATACTCCGCACTCTGTGATAAATAGATAATCCGGGTCATGTTGGGGACTGGGTATTGTTCAGTATTGGGTAAGGCGGAGGGCGGGATTGGAAAATGATTTGCATAGTGACACATGGCTGACATTTTACCTGGGATTCATTGCTCGATTTTCCTGACCTGTTTGACTTGTCTGCTTGACCTGCAATGCTTGCTTGCTGGAAGGACTTTGACTGGGTGAGGCTTTTCTGACGGCGAGATGTGTATACGTACGATGTAGGTCATGACGCTCCAATGAGGCAAACCAGTCCAGCAATCGGTGGCTTGCCTGATGGGATGGTGAATGGTGAGGTGAAATGGCGAGTTGTCAGACGGCCCGAATATTAGTATAATTCTGTGGCAACAGGCTCTTTTCTTCTTGGTGGCGGACTCGGGCTCTGATATTGGGAGTCTGATCTCACGTCGTCACCCTTGTCTCTTCTTTCCTCTTCTTATTTCTTTACCTCAAGTCTGTTGCCACTGTCTCGGGTCCAGCCCAACGTCTCAGATGCTGCTCGATATGGTGGGGGTGCGGCCGCAGATTTGTCGCACTCGAAGCGGGGGGGGGGGCAGCAGACGGGGGTGGGAGGGGTCCCCTGTGAATGGATGGTGACGCAGTTCGATTCGTTGAGAGCAAGTACAGTTAACCTGGTAAACTGGACGAGTATACAGGATTCGGGGTGCTGAGTTCCAGACTCGATAAGGCAACTGTCGAGTGGAAACTTGGAAGTTGGAAGAGGAGGACAGGCTGGCGGAGCAGGGTTAATAGAGGTCGGTATTTTTTTCCCGTTGTTTCTGCAAGTTTCTGAATGCGCTGTGGATTGGGCGTGTAGCGTTGCTCTGGCCGAAAGTAGGCTATTTGGGTGGTGACGTGGTTCAATGCGTATTGTATTATTGCTTCGTAATACGGAGGCTCTTGTCGCTCTCGGAACTTCTGTCGTCGGGTAGTTGGGTTTAGGTCTTTGGCGATGAGAATATGCTGTGGCCGAGCACACGCACACACGTGCGAAGTAGTGTAGAAGGAATGGCAGAATTCGGAGGAAAGAAGGTCCGGGGAGGGGAGGGGAAAGGAAGAGCAAAGAGTCGAAGACGAAGAGGATTGGAAAAGAAAAATAAGAAAAGAGAAGAAGCGAGAGAAAGATGAGAGTAAACGAGGGAGGTAAAGGAGACGGAAAAGAGAGAAAGGAAATAAAAAAAGATTGAGGTGACTGGCAGACAGAGTTTCGGTGGGGTGGCCGGGGAATACTGCTACAAGTCGTTGTAGTAATAATAGCTCGAAGTGGTATACTCTCGTAGTGATGGAGAATGGTGGAGTGGCTAGTGGTGTACTCGTAGAGGTGGTAGGACTTGAGACTGTTTGAAGGGAAGAGAGTTGGAATGAGGCCTGATGACACTTCGGTATCGTTTGTAAGATATTGCAGATGCGAGACCAAAACAGGCCAGTTATGATTGTGTATAAGAGAACAATAGAGGAAAGAAGAAGAAGAAAAGAAGGAAAGAGAGGGAAAGGGAAAGGAGAGAGAGGGACGTGCGTCTGACTGATTCCTGGTGGTTCCTTCCTTCTTTGCCAGTTTCGATGCTCGTGCTTTCGGTGCTAGCGTTTGACTTAGCAAGAGCACCCGAGAAGTTGCCCACTTGCTTTGCCCACTTGGCTTTTCCCACTTGGCTCTTTTCTTTTATCCTCGGTCGCCCACTGTCATTAGTAGTGCAGAAGGAATTTTCTTCTATTTTTTTTTCTTTTTACCCGAGATCGTTGTAATAATATGCAATATCTGTAGTCGTAATGCTAGAATGACGAGTACCATCCGTAGCAATACAACAGTAGCAATAGTCCTCGTCAATGATCACTGTCACTGAAGCTTGCGGGAATAACAGAAGAAGAAGCTGGGGAAAGCTGCCGAGTGTCGAAATCTAGAGAAAGAACTGCAGGACTAGATAGTGGCTCCTTCCGTGTACATGTATTATTTATTATTTCATGAGGAAGGGTGTCCAGTTTGCTCCTTCTCTCACTCTTTCCGTTCTCTCTCCCGCCCTCTCTTCCGCCTTCTCTCTCCCCTCCGTCCTCGTACTCATCGTCATACACATCGTCACACTTCCATGTGCTACTGCTATCATTCATATTACTTAGATGCCCCCACTCCTCTTTACTTGTACTCCCCCATCGGAAGGGTATTCTCATCCCTCGATCCACGCTCCTGTTTCTTCCATGGCTGACAGCTCTTCCGGGAAAACAATGGCGACACTTTGACTCTCTAGTCTGCGTCCCTCCGCTCCTCTCCGCCTCTCCGTGTCTTTGTCCACAACAATCATGTACGTTGCAGACAGAGCCTTTTTCCAATCTTGGGGTAAGAGCCATTGCACTTGCTCCGGTTGGGCGCCGGTCGGCTGTGGTCCTGGGTGGGATAATTCATATGTGGATACCCTCCACTATGAACCCCTACCCCCCCCGGTTTCGCTCTTGGCCCTTGATTCTTTGTCGACGGCTGCCTGGTGGGCCTGGGCCTGTCCCACAGATGGGTGTGTGCGCGTGAGAGCCCGATGGACGAGACAAGGATGACGACTCGAGACTCGAGGACGGGAAGATTTGTACGTACCCGTCCTCACTGTTACATGTGCTAGGGTATAATGATGTATTACCACCAACGACCACGACTGGACCCAAACACTAACACTACGTCCCAGCCAGTGCACGCGGGTACACCTACACATATACATGCTCTCCATATCCCTCGGCATTCCAATAACGAAAAAACAAGAAGAAGAAAAAAGAACAAACGACAGCCAAACCTTGACCTGCAAGCTACGAGTACGGAATATGTAGCGTAGTGTCGGCTGAGCGTAGAGCCTGGTTGCCTGCCCTACCCTTGCCTGCCTTGCCTTGCCACCAGCTGGACCCGCCCGTTGCGTGTCGGGAAACTTATTCAAACATGGCCATGATTGACAGCAGTGCCAAAGACTCAGAGCGTGTTGATATGAATCCCCTGGCCATTGCATGGCCATGTCATTAAAACACGGGCCCGGCCATGTTGGTCCATATCGGGCATTGGCAGGTGATCTGAGGGGAGGTATTGATTGACCTGGATATATCACCTGGGAATTGACATGGGTCAATGACATGTGGGCGAGTATGATTTAGATTGCGAAGCAGTGGTGCGCTGCCGCAAACAACAGTTCCGTGTACGAGTACGAGGACTAATACTGCCTGTAGTAGTAATACAGAGACACCGATCAATACCAGTACTAATAATAGTTGCCCTTGCGATTATTATCACTAGTCAGTAGGTCGTCACTCCTCAAAACAGTCAAGGCTTTCTCGACACTCGGATTCAATGCTCTTTATTGGCACGTACAGCATACGAGTATGATGCGCCAACGGCGAGAACCGTTCCGTTTCCCATCCGATCCGATCCAATCACGGCACGTGTGAATAAGCTCGTACCAGTCGAGAGAATCACGAACAATCCGACGGGCTGCTCGTACGGATACATACTCGTACGACTACTACTATGGCCACTACCATTACCATTACTGCTACTAATACTACTACTAATACTACGCTGGGACTTGGGTCAAAAAGGGACCTCAAGGAATCAAAGTCACAACACCCATTCAGAATCCTTCTCTCCCCCATCGAAGTCTCGGGACCGGGGATCCCTTGCCTCCTTTCGGCCCTGCTCGGCCATCCGGGATCGCAGCGCCCTTTTATTGATTGTGGACCGTTGGTCGGCCCCCGCGACCTTGAACCCAGCACCACCCACCTTGCCACCCCTGCAATACTCCGTACTGAGTCCTGACTGCACGGTTACAGGGGCAGGACCCATGCCGATACCATGGGCCACGAGTCCCAAGGCCACGCAGTGTGCGGAGCTGGAGAGGAGAGTGGGAGTCGCACTGCCGCACTGGGCAGTGGGCACGCGCCATGGAGAGGGGGGGAGGGGGGGGAGCTCATGGGGCCATGGGGCTCCTCTCGTTCCAGAAGCTTTCCAAGGGTTTCTCTCACGACATGGACAATGATCGCGGATACGGACCACGAGTACGGCGCATTATTACGATGTAAGAATACTCCGTCCAAGGAGCTATTCAACGACGATTCACATTTGCCTAGCCCTGTGCGCAACGCCAGCGGCTCATTCGCACCCCAGATGCAATGCTCCAGGCTTGGCGACCGTGGCTGACCATCTTTGACTCCTCTCCCCTTGGTGAGGAAGGGAGAGAGAGGGAGCAGAGATGGACCGAGCAGATATGTTGTTCCGCAAAGTATTGCGGTACTGCGAGTACAGGTGGTATAGAGTACTCGTACTGCTACTATCAAATGATAACAGAGCTGTTGGTTGCGCCGGTCGTATATTAATTCGTACGACTTGAGAAATTACTTGAACCGGTCGGTACTGGTGCCCCCCCCCCCCGACACTTTGTTGGCGGGAAACACCGTCCCACTTTGAGGACCAAGTATCCGTATTCGCTCATACATAACTGCAATACTTGTATACCCATACTCAGCACTCGCTTGTATTGAGTACGGAAGACGCAGGGTCTTGGCCCACGGGACAGCTGACCAGCAATGGCAGGAGGCCATGTATTGATTCTTTTGCATTGACGAGTTCCGAGTTCACGGCAGCCCTGCCACGGAGAATGATGGAGAGGTTACGGAGTTGACGATTTTGGATGCAGAACGATGGCAGTATCGTGGTAGCGTCCGGCTCCCTGGCATCTGCAATCTGTACATGTACTCCGGTATCTTGAGTCCTTAAACCCTTGAACCCTTGAACACTTAAGCAAGTTGACAACCCTGACATGTGTCCAGGGATCTTTGGAACGCGCGCAGGAATGTGACAGACTGCACAGAGCAATGATAGTAGTATTGATGCTTCGTAAAGTGCTTGTCTGTCATGGCTACTTGCACTCGGTAATATTCGTTACTCTCAGGTCCCACCCCTTTTCTCTCTGCTCTGTCTCTCTCTCTCTGTCTGTCTGTCTGTCTCCCTTCTTCTCACCATTCACCGCCTCTGTACGCCTCTGTACGGGGTATATCACCGACTACCAAAGGACCAATTATTATTACGAGTACCGATTATTACGAGTACGGAGTACGAGGAGTTGAGATGTTGATGTCTACCAGCAACGTTTCAGACATTTCCTCTTCTGTTTTGACTAGAGGGGGTTGTCCGTCATGTCCCATTCGGGAAGCTCCTCTCGCGAAGCCTTATATGCGTATACGGTATTATGTCTAGTAGGCACGACGAGTATCAATACTCCTTACCTTGATCATGTTGCATCAGCATACTCAATAATGCTCACATGCAACACGGACCCCTGTCCGCCCTTTTCAGTGTCCACCCCCCCCTCACGATTCTTAATCGAAACATGTCCGAGAGCATTACCCTATTTGTACAAAGCTACGAGTAAAAATACGACACTGATGCTTCCATTGTGTATACCTGTACAGATTACATTTGACAGTACATGTATATATATGCAATACCTGGAGCCACATGGCTTTTCTCCATCACACTAGCGACAACCGGTGCAGCATCCCCCGGCGGTAGGGAGTCTTGATACTACGCTGTGCTAGTCGTATGTCGGATCTAGGATCCGTCGATGGTATAATCGCTCACTGCTGATATTGATATGATATCAATAGCGCTGGGAACGTAGCAGTGGAAGTACGGAGTACTTGTATTAGATATAGTAATACCATCCGTAATACTTGCTACTGCTACTACCTCTAGGCCATCATACGAGCACACTTCTGCCTCCCACACCAAACTCACGTGTCGGATCCAGGGTATCAGCCTTTCCCTTCATTATTCAACTACACAGAGCAAGACGATGGATGGCCCGGCGATTCATTGCTTTGAGCTGCTGCTGCTGCAGCTGCTGCATGTCTCTCCATATCGGATGCGACGCAGATTTCAAGATATTGCCCTATGCATACTACAAGCACGAGTGGCAGATAGATGAATATGTCTAGTAGTTTTACCGTCGCAACAGCTTGTAGACGGTAGAACGGTCGGACCGTCAACTGCCGGCCTATACGTCATGCCGTGTAATGCTGTGAGGGAGGTATTCAGAGGGTTGGGTGATTGAGGGACCGATGGAAGAGAAATCAAAGCAGTGGAGAGACAAGAGTGCTGGTTGCACTTGCGGATGTCGGTTATGATCTGGCACAATAACGTCAGATCGCACCCGTGGCATCAGATCCTCCTATGAAGAGCCTTTGCCGTTGTTGACGATCCTGGTGTCGTTGTTTCCATCTATGCAGTCATCTGGCGTCGGAATGACCTTTCCCTTTATAGCATCTGGCTGCTGATACAGACGAATGAGATAGTAGAGAAGATACGAATGATGTAGAGGAAAACCAAAAAGAGGCACAGATGGAGACGAATACACAAACACAGACGGGAAAAAAAGGAACCTCACTCTTACCCAGTATACACTTGAGAGAATATAATATCATCTGAATAGACCGAGTTGGCTACGCTGAGCCCTGAATGGCTCAGCAGGCACCTATATTTGATGAATCGACTTTACAAGTTAGAATGCTTACAACATGATCTGCGTTACTGGAAGGAAGTGTCGAGGCATTCTTCCCCCCTCCTTCCCCTCCTCCCCTCCCGAAGCTAAGATAGAAAGACCTTTTTTTTGGGGGGGGGGAGAGAGAAAAATAACCCCGACATCTCGACATCAACTCGCGCCTTCCTCTTCCTCTTGTGAAACCATGTCAGTCCGAGCAGAGTTGGGCTGGATGGAACGTCGGGACGTCTCTACGACAAGATGGATGAATAGAACAAGTCCCTACAATCAATCACTCGATGTAGTATCAGGGTGACTGGCAGTTGACCATGGGAGCAGAGGCGGTGAGGGAAAACGCAGGCTTCACCCGCCTTCTGGATGTGATCATATGAGGGATTGTCCATAGGAAAGAGCGTATGAGAGAAACTCGGAGCATCACAGCGGTCCGGGAAGTCGCCCGCAGTAGAAGCTCCTTCCATCGCTCACGGCAGACAAATATAAACGGCATTGAAATTGAGGGGGCAATATGGAAGACTCACAAGTTCCTCTCAACCATCTCCCCGCCAATAGACAACGGATTAAAGAGCTTCTCGCTGCATCGTTCCCTCTTTCATCTTTCGTGCTTCTCCTCTCCAAGATATCTTCTTCACTACTATCTCCTTTTTGATATCTCGAGTATCCTTGCCCGCGGCGAGCACCGAGCACCCCATCGGTCGAGGTTTCGTCATCTGAAATGCCAAGAGCATCGATCTGATCGATATCAACCCCAACCCCAACCCCTAGTGATGACACCAACCTCGGGAGACGGCCACCCGCCGGGGGATTCTGTTGATGGCACGAGGTCCCTCTCCGGTAAGCATCTCGGGAGTATTATCCCAGATTCATCTTCAGAAATCGACACAGACAAGGGTACCGACGAACAGCCCGAGCCTCCCCAGGATCAACATCTACAGGATCAACCTCCCCAGAGTCAGCCTCCTCAAGGTCAGCCTTTTCAGAAGGACAACAGTGACAAAGATACAGAAGAGGGCGAGATAGAAGGGTATAGAGACCAACAAAGCAATCGATATGGTGGGAACGGAGATGAAGATAAACAGGACACAAAACTGAACACTTATAACAGCCCCCAGATTGAAACTCACGTCGTGGATTCTGCTGCATCAGGAAAGGTGCGAGAGCGCACTCTGCCTGACCAGGGAAAATCCTCCTCCAGTTCAGACGATGACGATGATGGTCTCAACTCTGGCTCTCCAGCAAGAAAGGAGTGGATGGAGCTCAAAAAGTACAGTCAGGCAAAGAACGAGTATATTGACCGTCTCATGTCGATGGTAGGGCTTGAGGAGGTCAAACAATTCTGCCTAAAGTCGAGAAGCTTGATCCAGTTCGATCTGGATAGAGGTAAAGCACCGGACAGGAAACTACTCGACCTTCTCAACGTCATGTTTACTGGCAACCGTGGAACGGGCAGAACAACCGTGGCAGACCTATACGCCAGCATCATCAGAGAAGAAATAGCTCTCATCTCAGGCAGTGCGCCCGAGATCGTCAAGCCGAAGCTCGACTGCATTTGCGATGTTCTGCCCATCGAGCGGATTGTGGGCCAATATGGGGAGGCGCCTTGCGTAAGCTGCAGTGTGCTCACATGTACACCTTCTACCGTCGTGCTGACAGGCGATCTGCCCCCCTCCCCTAGATTATCATAATTGACCTGGCAGAGGACACCCCGAGGGGCTGGGTGATGTGTATCCTCTACGAGTGCTTCAGGAATCAAGTGATCAATCCCGTCGCCATCATAGCCACCAGTGCTCCGGAAAAGGGCCAGCCACCTGGCCACGCACAGTGTATGCATACGCTCCGCAACGAGATGCCATCCATTGGACTGCCAGACTACAGTAACGAGGAGATGGCGGACATGATGCAGAGCTCTCTGGAGTCTCGCTTGGGGAAAATCGCCAACGCCAAGAGTTCCAGAATCGCCATAGCCATCAGGTGCCTCATCCACAGGTCTCTCAAATCTTCCAATATGTGGCTTTTGGGGGGGGCTCGCCAATGACATCGAAGAGCGGTACAGGGACCGTTTCATAATATCCCAACATTCGGGACATTGCAACAAGCACCCACGGCTGATCAAGGCAGACATCCTGGGTCATCTGGTGCCATGCGGCAGGCCATCCAGTGATGCTTTGAGAGAACTGGCAAATCTCAATGGCCTGAATGCCGTCAAGATGACTATCAACGACATGTTCGACCGAGAGATGCGCATCAGCCACCGCGAACTGCTCGGGATCGAGCCTAGCCCGGTTAGGCTGGGCATGGTCTTCCTCGGGAAGCCTGGTACGGGGAAGAAGACGGTGGCGTGCCTGTACGCCCAGCTTCTTGGCGAGATGGGTCTCTTATCCAGCGGAAAGACTGTTGTCAAGAGCCCGAGCGATCTCATTGACGTCGGCCTCGGCTCGGCAAAGGATACGGTTGCATCCGCAGTTGCCGAAGCAAGGGGCCGTGCCCTCATCATTGAAGATGCCGACAAGCTAGATCCTACGTGCGAGAAGGACCCGAGCAGGGCCAGGCAGTGTCGTGAGGTGCTCGAAAAGCTGGTACACGCCATGCGCTGCTCGGTCGGCAAAGACTACTGCTTTATCCTATGCGGACGCCCAGATGCCATGAAGGCCATGTACGGGAACAGCCGAGACATCGATCTGGAAAGCATGCTTCCTCTGGAAAAGGCCCTCACGTTTCGCGACTTTGATCCCGAGATGCTGGCATACTATCTGGACCTCAAGCTCGCCGAGAAGGGCGTGGTGGCGTCTGAGCCTGCCAAGACGGCCGCTCTGAACATTCTCAGGGACCAGTCTCGGCGTGATGACTTTTGTAACGCTCACAATGTGGATGCCATCGTCACCCGTGCCATGCACGCACGGGAAATTTGGCTCCAGCAGGCTCTGAGGGCGAGCACGGGCGCGGTTCGGCAGGACCCCAACTCGTGGAGGGCTCTGTGGCCGCAAGACTTTGGGGATGGCCTGGATCCAGGTCGCAGTGAGGATCATCAGGAGCGTGGCGGAAATCGAGAAGAGGGAGCAAGAGAAGACGGCCCAGGCGATTTCAGTAGGGTGAGGGACCAGTTCAAGAACTTTGTCGGATTCAACGACATACTGTCCCAGCTCGAGTCGTACCACGACATGGTGTGTGGAATGCGTCTCCGCGGTGTCGACGCCGAGCCATTCATTCCCTTTACTCTCATCTTCAAGGGCCCGCCCGGGACTGGAAAAACGTCGACGGCGCGCATGATGGGCGAGTTTTACCGCAATCTGGGCCTCCTGCCAACGTCCAAGGTGGTCGAGATGTCGGCGACGGACATGGTGGGTCTGTATGTGGGCAACACGGGGCCCAAGACGCGGGACCTCCTCGAGAAGTCGCTCGGCAAGGTTCTCATCATTGATGAGGCGTACATGCTGGCGGAGAGCCAGTCTGGATCCGGGGCGTCGGAATTTACCAAGGAGGCAATCGCCGAGCTGGTCTACTGTCTGACGAAGCCCGAATTCGAACGCAAGCTCGTCGTCATACTGGCCGGGAACGAGAAGGAGATGGACAAGCTCCTCGACGGAAACCCGGGTCTACGCAGCCGCTTCTCTACGCACATCACATTCCCATCCCTCAGCACATGGCAGTATCTCGAGCAGCTGCGCAGATATCTGAGGCGGGTGGGCATCGTGATGGAACCGACGGCGGAGATGGACGGGGCCGCCCGCAAGGCTCTCTGCGAGGGACTGACCAAGATGATGAACGAAAAGACCTGGGGTGGCAGTCGATCCGTCCAGGATATGGGCATGGCCATCATGCGTTGTGTGTTTGGGAAGTACGCGCACACGGGGGACAAGGGTGACATGAAGCCGTTGACGTGCCGCGAGGTGATGAGAATGCTGGTGGAGTCGCGCTTGATGAAGGCTGAGTCGCCAACTTGGAGTCGGAGGCCGATGGGCAGCCGATTGGTGACGTTGAGTAGTTTAAATTAGTCGAGGTGGTTCATGTTTGGGCGGGTGGACATTGTTATCGTTTTCGAGGAGAATGGTTCTTGTCTGAGTAGTATACAGGTAGGAGTGGGAGTTGGGGTTGACGGCGAGGAGAGAGTTGAGAACAGAATGTCTTTCTGTCTAGAGTATATATACCCATACCGGCGGTGGCAGTATTCGGGTGCTTTCTGAATATACTAATATGATATACCTACATGCACTCCTGGCATGCACCATGGACCATATATATATTTACCTTTTCCTCCGGAACCGGGAATTATGCCCAGGACCACCCTTGGCACCATTCTGACGAAGTTTGAGACGATGAAAGTTGGCATGGGCAAGCTCATTGACCTTTCTGGCAGCCTTTCTGACAGTCTTTTCTGCCGTCCTTGTCTTTGCGCTCGTCTTGGTATCCTTTCTCTCCTGCTTCTCGCCATCCGAGACGTGATTGTCATTGTAATCGTCATCATCATTACCGTCAGGAAGCTGCGTCTTGGACATGGACTCGTCGTCGTCAGATGCACCGTCTCCCACGGGTAACTGATCAGGTCGTTTGATCCACATCGGCCTGATGTTGACTTTGCGAGTGGTGCGCTTCTGACCCTTTTTCTTGTAGGTGGACGGCATATCGCCAGCGGTGCCCTGTTTCCGAGCGTCCTGCTCCTGTGCTTCTGCCTCCGCGGCCATGGCAGCTTCCGCTTCGTGATCGAATGCTGTTGATGCAGCAGCTGGTGGTGGTGGAGGTCGTCCCCTGGAAGAAGAAGTCATGGTGGGATGAGAGGCGGCAACCGAGGTGGAAGGAGTAGAAGCCTCTCGGTCCATCTCCATCTCCCGCAGGGCCTCGAGGTCCGCGTCTGCCCTGTCGTCCTCGACTTTTCGTAGACTGGCGACGATCTCGCTGAGACCGCGACCGAGAGGTTTTCGCGGCAGACGGAGCGGGACAGGGGCGGTCGGGGGCTCCAGCATCTCGCCGTTCTCGTCGACGGTGGCGAGGTTGGCATCATCGTGGAGGGGGAGCATGTTGCTGTGGCGCTTGAGGAACTGGGGTGTCTCGAAGTGGAGTTTGGAGGGGGTCGTCGTCATGAAGGAGGAAGGGGTTCTCGAGCCCATTGGCTCTTCCTCCTCTGCTGCTGCGGTGTTGAGGCTGTGGCTGTTGTTTGGTTGACGAGATTTCAGCGGTGACATGAATGTATTTAGGTACTGTCGTTTGCTGGCCGACATTGGCGTTCGTCGTCCCATGCGCGGAGTGGTGACGGAATCCGAGTCGAACTGGGGACGATTCTTGCTGGGTGTGGTGGCGGCGGTGGTGGTCGTCGTCGTCATCGTCTTTATCCTCCGGGACGACGGCGTCTGCTGCTGCTGCTGCTGCTGCAGTCGGGCTCGGGACTCCTCATCCTTCTCCAAGAGATCGAACAGGCCCAGTACGCGCCCGTCTCGCTGGGGTGTAGGCCCCACGGATGTCACGGCCGTGGGACTGAATAGCTTGCGCGAGATAGTGGGCGTCTCTTCGAGGTGTTGGCTGTGCAGGCGTCCCTTGGATGGGGTCTCGACATGTCGTGATCGCTTCGAAGGGGTCAACCCATCTGACGCAGGGGCTCTCGAGTACGTGTTTACGTCGTCGGCGTCTTGGGGTTTGCGCTTTCGTGGTGGTGGCGATTGTTGCTTGGTGGTTGGGAGTGGGGCTTTGCCGTCGAGAACGTCTCTTGATTTTTGGTAGGCTTTGTACTTTTGGGCTGCACCTTGTCAGAGGAGAAGGATGTGATGTAGAGGTGTAGGAAGAGAGAGAAAGGAGGAAACTCACCGATATCGGGATTTCTCTTGATATCATCCCGTCCAGGTTTCCTACCGCCATTGTCCTTGGCCCACGACGTCTCCCACCTCTTGAGATCGGCGCGCAATTCCTGACATTTCGTTTCGTATTCCGTCCTCGTCCTTTGATCCATACCGACCCTACTGAATTTCACTTCCAGGCGAGCTGCAGAGCGAGAGATAGAGGTGGGGAACGCAAGAAAGGGAAGCCAAGTGAATTGGTGGTGATGGAGAGAAGGGGGGGTCCGGAGGGGACAGAGACGCGTCGGAGATATACTAGACGCGACATCCTTATAATGGAAAACGCGCTTTTCTGCCCATAAACGTCATTGGGATTATGTCATCGTCCTTGACTTTTTTTTTTTCAACTCATCATCATTAACGAGTTTAAGTAGCTCCTCACTACCACCAGCATCATCGTCATCATCATCATCATCATCATCGCTACATGTACACACGTACATATACCCTGGTATGGCGACGAAAAGCGAGGACCATGACTGGAAGTCGCGGGCCATGGAGGCTGTCGTCGCCAACTTTGAGACTCGTTCAGACGACCCATCACCCAACCGCTGCGTCGTCTGCCATGACGACGTGACCGACCCCTCCGAGACGATACCGTGCCTCCACCGCCAGGGATGCTGGGACTGCATCCAACAAGTCATGTACACGTTTGGCCGTTGCGCCTACTGCCGACAGCCGATGCAGAGTCTGGTGCGCCTATCTACCAAGCAGGCAATCGACAATGACGGCAGCAGCAATAACAGCAGCAGCAGCACGTCACACGCAGACACGACACCTCTCACCCGCGCACCGCAAATTAATCGGCGTCGTCGCCGTCGTCGTCGCAGTACATCGGACGATGACGACGCCTCGCTATCCCTCCGGAGAGCCGTCGACCGCCGCCGCTCCGTATACACGCACTCCCGACTGTGTCGACACGTCGGGTCGAATCGCCACTCCGGCTACCGTGAGATAACGCCGCAGATGGTTCTCCGGGAACCAGATCTAGTATCGCGCGCGCGCACATGGATCCGCCGCGAACTGCTCGTCTTTACCTTCCTACGAGCCGATCACGACAACAACGGTGATGATGATGACGACGACGACGACAAGCTTCCCGGGATGGGTCGGCGCCGAAGAAGAGAGAGACGGATGACCGGTCTGAGGTGCCAGAATGCAGAGTTCCTCCTCGAGTACGTGGTAGCAATACTCAAAACTGTCGATCTCATGGGCAGCGCGGGACAGGCCGAAAACATGGTGGCCGAGTATATCGGTCGCGAGACGGCGCGGGTGTTTCTCCACGAGCTGCGCAGCTGGCTCCGGAGTCCGTTTACGCGGCTCGAGGAGTGGGACAGGCTCGTTCAGTATGCAGGGGAGGAGAGGCCCGCATGGTTGGACGGGTAGGTTCGAATTCTCTCAACACTTCACGACGACGCGTATGACATGATACCCCCCATATAGAAAGACTCATGATACAACATTACAGTAAAGCTGAATATGCAACGTGAACGTGACGGCAATACTGGATACAGGGTTAACAGCAAAAGGGTACATGTATACACGCATATTCAGTAGAATGATAACAAGACACGGACTACATACTCATCAAACCCCCGATATCCTTCTCCATAGCCCTCAGTCTAGCCTGCAGCTCCCTCTTCTTCCCTTCCAGCTCTCTAGCCTCCTCCTCCTCCGTCCTGAGATCCTGCTCAGTCCAGACGTCTTGTTCATCTTCGTCTTCTTTCTCATCATCACCATCGTCGTCGTCGTCGTTGCCATCCATCCAATCCTTGTTATAGCTAGCCAGCCTCTCGGCCTGCTCGGCCACCTTGGTCTCGTAATAGGCCATGGTCGACCTGGCAGCCCTGTTCCTCGCCCTGAGCTGACCTATCCGCTCCCTCGCCCCGGGTAGCTCGTACACGCCGCACAGCTTCTCGGCGCCCCGCAGCAGGACGTCGACGTCGACGTCGACGTCCCGTCCCGATCCGGCCGTCGCGCCCCCCCTCCTCATCAGCTTCTCGTGCATCTCTCCGCCCAGGACGGCCGCCACGGCCGCCTGACGTCGAGGGGGAGGCACGCTGCCGCCGCCGAGCCGCGCGGACGAGGAGCCTCCTCCCGTCGTCACCTCGCCCGAGGCTACGTTGAAGACGGTCCGACGACGCTTGCTGTTGCGCCCCGATGGGTCGCCCGCCGCGTCTAGCTGGTGCGTGGGCTTCGTCGTCGGTGCCGGAGGCGGGGCGGGTACGGAGAATAGTGCGCGCTCGTGCGATTCCGTGTCGCGGATCAGAGACGTGATCTCGTGGTTGGCCAGGAGCGCGTTGGTGAACATCTTCGGAGGAGGGAAGCTGCCGACGTCAGAAGAGTGTCAGCGTGGTGTGCACCCAGATGTGGGGAATCGCAATGCGGTGCAGTGTTGGAGAAGACTCACTGGAGGGAATCGATCCCTTGGGATGAATAGCCAATTTGGTCAAGATGCGACGCGAGAAGGGACATGGTAGCGGCTGTCTCTTTTCTTGTTGATTGTTGTCGGTTCGTGGTTGTCGGCTGTCTGTTTGCTGGAGAAGCGTCTTTGTATTGACAAGTTGACAACAGTCTAGACTCTACAGATTAGATGTACGGGTGATAATGATAGTACACAAGTGTCAAGAAGTATCAGATGCCCCGCGGCTATCTCCACAATCGTAATATTACTTATACCATACGAGTAAACATTGCATTCCATGTGTACAGATTACACGCAACGATACTCCGTACTACACCGAGTAATGAATATTATCATTACGTATATATATATATATATATATATACGGACAGTCGTACTACGGAGACTCCCGAGTAAACCATGCATACCACCGGAATCGAATACTCTACCACCAATAGTAAATATATCATCAATATTACGTTCAAGATTAACTACTCACTTATCCGAATCTTCATCATTCTCACATTGGCATAGCCATACCGCCTACGCATTCCATCTATAACCATTACATCGTCCCAAGCAATGAACCCATCGTCCAAGGGCATCCACCCGAGGACATTTATCCAGAAGAAGAGGATAAGAAAAGCAATAGAGAAACGAGGACGGATTGAAAAGAAGACAAGAGAAAAAAAAATGTACAGACAAGAACTGAAGATGGCAAGACGAGGCAAGCGCGTCAGAGGGAGGAAACAAGAAAGGCAAAGCAAACTCTAGAGGCAAAGGGCAGAATCGATGATTTGCTTGCTTACTTTCTGAAAGAAGAAGAGAAGAAGAAGAAGAAAGGGGGTATAGAAAAAGAGAGAGAACAAGGGATATTTAGAGCTGTGTTAGGTGTCGTTGTCGCTGTCGCTGTCGTTGTTGTCGTTGTTGTTGTCGTTGTTGTTTCCTCCGTCTATATAAGAATTTCTGAAACTGGTGTTCCCGTCCATCTTTTTTTTTTACCCTTTTCCCATATCTGCCTGTATTTTTCTTCGTTTCCTCCTTGACAACCAGATATTGTATCATCGAGGTATCTTGAACTGTATATGGAGGGTTGGGGAGAAGAATTAGGAGGCGGTTCTGTTTGTTCTTTGTTTTTTTCTGAGTTCTTCTTGGTCTTCCTTGTTGTTTCCTTGTTTCTTCCTTTCCATGGTATATGTTTCATCATCCCTGAAACACAAGAGGGAGAGGGAGGGAGAGAGAGAGAGAGAGAGAGCTCAGCTCGTAATCTCCATTATCTCCATCGTCCAATACGGCAACTCCTTCGCAAGTGACCTCCCAGCCAGAAAATCAGCGTCATTCTCGTCATCGCTCGAGTTGGGCTCGTCCAGCTCGACAATCTGCTCCGGGGGGTCGTGAAACAGTAAGGAGCTCCGATGGAGGCGCTTCCGGAGTCGTCGCGCGCTGGATCCCACATCGTTGACGTCTAACGGTCCAAAGTCGTCCTCGTCGTCGCTGAGCTCGCTGTGCGTGCGCTTCCCTACGCTGCTCGACATGCTCACGCGGCGGACGCGGCGAAGCTCCTGTTGGCGCTGGTAGAAGAGTTCCATGTCGACGTCGACTTCGTCATCGTCCTCGTCTTCCTCCTCGTCGACTTTGTCCTCATCTTCAGGGTCGCTACTGCTACTGCTATCGTCGTCTTCGTCGCTGTTGACATCCTCCTCATCCTCAGACGCTTCCTCGTTGCTGCAGTTGAGATTCCTCATATCGCGCATCATGGTTCTGTCCAGGCCCTTGTGCCATGAGTGGGGACGGGTCGGTGCCACTTCAATCTCATAAGGGTACAGAACCTCCAACAGATTCACGCTACCCTCAGCCGAATCAATCTCCTCAATCAGGTATTCCGACCAGGCAGCGGCATGTGCATCTAAGGGGGCATCTGGAGCGGCGGCAGTGTCTTTGTCGCCGCCTATCACGTCGAGGCCGTCGTCTTCATCTTCGTCTCCTTCATCTTCATCATCAGCCTCGGACGAAGCCGCTTGTGGTTCTAGGATTGGATCATCTGTCTGATCACTTTCGTCATCCTCACGATGCTCTCGCTGCTCTCGTTTCAGCTGGGTATCGGGTACGTTGTCGTTCTGGTCGGCGGCAATGGCGGATGATGAAGATTGTGACCGCGGACTGAGCTGCTCGGGTCCAAAGGTGGGCTGGTAGCTGAACTGATGGCCGTTTCCGACGGGCTTGATGCTGGGATCATTGGCGACTGGCGGGGAGAGGTCGTCCCAAGACGGCGCGGGCTGACGTCTAGGTCGTAAACTGTATTTGCGAGAGAATGGTGGTGACGCCGAGGGAGTTTCGGGTGGTGACGCCGGATCGGCGGTGAAGAAGCTTTGACGGTGGAGGTGGCCTAGATTCGGCGTAGATGGCCGCCTCCGGAGGTGTCTGCTCTTTGCCATGGCCACAGAGCGAGAGAGCGGGAGGGAAAAGACAAGGAAGGGGGGGGGGGGGGGAGGAAGAAGAAAGAAATAGAAGGAGAGAAGAAGAGAAAGCGACAGAAAAATCAATTGTCTCTTTTCTCTGGCGCTTGGGGATCTTAGTTCCAAAGGCCCGGGGCGATGTCACGAATAGATGACTGCTGGGATGATCCTCGAAAAAACGCACGGCGGGGGGGGGGGGGGGGGGGGGGTTTTTGAAAATGGAAGAGAGGGGGGGGGGACCAAGAACAGAGAGAAAGAGAGAGGCGCGCGCGCTGCAAATCTGGGACTGTCCAATACCAAGGTATAATAATAAAGTCGGTATGCAAGAGACGGACTCGGTGCAAGTGGCCGGATCGTAGGAGATTGGTCGATCCAGACAGGCGTGTGTGCGCGTGTGGGGTAGAGTAGACGGTCAAGAACAAGTTGAGAGAAGTGTGTGGTGAGTCGTGACGGTCGACCTGACTCCAGATGCGCCCGGCTATGATGACTTCGTCTCGTCTCGTCTCGTCTCTTTTCGTCCGATTCTGCAAAGGGATTGGAGATGGGACTCTGATTGAGGATTAATAATAAGAAAGGATTAAGGGCGAGAAATACTTGGTACCCAGACTTGTTGTGCGGCGGATGCGTGTACTCACTCGTACAGAGTACAGATTACAGAGTCCAGTACGAGTACATATACGTACCATGCAATGCGGCCCAGACGAGCATTAGTCCAACAAAGATGTGGGTGAGAGAGACGCAGTCTCGCACAAGAGCATTGCGTTGCTTTCCTTGCCTCCCTGATCCTTGTCGGTTTTCCTTCTCTGTCAGGCCCCTGTCGCACGTATTACCACTGGCACTCACTCATCATGTGCCGACTGACGAATGATGCCTCAAGCCTCACTGTCTCGGGACCCAAAGCAGGAACGGGCAGAATCAGAGTCCGATAAAGGTCATTTCCCATAACAGCGATTGCTCGTTGGTATTAGCTGGTACTCGTATGTTTTGTTGTTTGTTGCCCGTGAGCTACTGTTCGTGCCTCGTCATACTGACGACTGTCCATCAATCAACGATAGCCACTTCACATATACGAAGTCAGTGTTACTCGGTGATGAACATGGACAGCACACGCGCGTACCTATACGCGCACACCACAAGTGTACCGTCGTCTTGTTGCCGTGGTGGCTTCTTCTCCCTCTGGATGCGGTGTGTTCCAGATTCCCAAGCATAACCAAGCACCGGGGGGGGGGGCGCCGAGGAGGAGTTGTCATGGTCATCTGGTCCATTTTCGCACCATCAGACTCCTTGACTATGAACCCCGTGGTCCGTCTAGGTTCCGTGCGGCATGCGATATGGTCCTTGTCTGTCTGTACCACTACCTGTAGGCTGTATCGTCCCTGGTTCACGGCCGTCGCTTACGGCGTATACTCGTTGTAAACTCGTTGTAATTATACGTAGCGTGGTGCAGTCCCCCACCGAACAAGGATAGGGGGGATCCAGGTCGCCTGAGATACTCACGGTGCCTGTCGCTCTCTCCTTGCCTCTGTCTGCCTCCCCTGTTGCTCTCTGCGCTTCTCTCTCTTCTCTGTCCGAGCCCTCCTACCCATGGGCAAAATCTAGAGGAAGGGGCGAAAAAAAAACCTGTCTGTGTGGGTTTTGGGCATCAATTCGCCCAGTACTGACCGGAACGAGGTCCGACCACACATACAATCCTGATTTGAGTAAACACCCAAATCACGCACATTGTGAGGAACGAAACAAATCCATCTTGGAGTTTCTTCTTCTCCTTCGTCCCTCTTCTTCCTTGTCCATGGGGGGCTGCAGCCCGGGGGAGATCTGTCATTAGCGGGCTTACTTCGCATGATGATCTCGGTTGCAAGAGGGATAGAGACCCCTTGTCCTCGCAGGCCCCTCTTTCTGGCCTCTCGTCTCCAGTCCCAGAACGACGAAGAACAAGATCGAAGGGGGAGAAAAAGAAAGGAAAAAGAAGAGCGACTATTGTGGCAGCCAACTCAGCAGCGTTGCCGTGGGATGCATGCCGGGGAGCGTCATACCAACCAATGAATCTCGGTCAAGCGTTTCCCCCCCAATCCCTGCATGCAAGTCAAGCGTGAAGCCAGGAGATGCTAAGGAATACGCCATGCGCAGCTGCATAACAGGGTACGAGTGCAAGTACTCGTAGCTCAGGTAATAGCTCATGGAGGCTTCCTTGTAAATTTGTGTAGCCGTATTTCCCCGGCATCAAGCTGGCTGCTTGTTTGAGGATTCCAAGTTGTCCGGTCATATGACCATCCCGTAGTAGCATCAACAAATGGCATAGCCTCTCTTTCATGTCAGAGACCTCTCTCCACGCCGAAGCATAGACCGGGTCAGGCTCTCTCGGCCCCCAAGCAGCCAGCCTCTCACCGGGGACGGCCCACCACCAGAAGCATGTGTCCGGGAGCCGTCGGGTATAGCTTGGCCACTATCGAGACAAGTCCACAGAATGAGAGGCAAGGTGTAGAGAAGAAAAAAAGGCAACGAATCGGCATATACACACCTCGCCACTGAGTGTCAGCAAGAGCTGATGACCATGCAGATTAGTTAGTTGCTGTCCGTCCCATGGAGAAGGAGAAGAAGCAAGTGAATGATGCATTTGGAGGGGAGAGGAAAAGAGAGAGAGAGCGACGGCAGGTGCGAGTCGATTGACGCGTAGAGCAACCGCGACATGAAGTCGGAGCATTGGTTAATCCGTATGGGTTTCATCTACCCTGTACTGTGTGTAAAAGTGGAGAGCCTGCCAGCCCTGCGGCAGCCTCGTCGTGGGACTTTGATAGCATTCAGTAGCGCTTTCCACCATTTATCTTCGGCGTGTTGACGTGGGCGTCACAGCGGCATCTCATTACTTGTTTCCTCATCATTAATCTGCCACTTCCTCTTCCCTTTCTTCAACGGAGATACTACAAGAGAGTACAGCAGACCTGTCCTCCGAAGGCATCGACAAAGAACGCGAGGGAGCACGTCGGGGCCACGCGACACGGAAGCAGACAGACCTTCGCACAACCCAACGTCGACCATCACGATCACCACCGCGGCGACGTCGCCATGAATACAAACCAGCAAGGCCAGGCACAGCCGCAGGGCCAACAGCCCCAAGCTCAGGGACGGCCTCAGGCCCAAGGCCAGCAACAGCAGCAGGGTTCGCCGGCCCCAGGTCAGGCGGCAGCCCCGCGCCCGCAGCAGACACCCGTTTACAATGCCGCTCAGATCCGCCAGCTCACCATCCTCTCCGAGGAGGAGAAGAGCAGATACGCTGCTGGGCTGGAGAGCCTGTGGGCCAAGGTACGCGGCTCGGAAAATGGGAGCATGGAGCATAAGGTCGCCACTGAGAAGATCTTCCACTTCTCCAAAATGTTGCAGGGCAAGATTCAACAGCGCCAGGCGCAGCTTCAGGCTAGACAGCAGCAGATACGACAGCAGCAGTTGCAGAACCAGCAGAATCAACAGGCCCAACAGGCCCAAGGCCAGCAACCGCAGCAACCGCAGCAGCCTCAGCAGCAACCGCAGCAGCCTCAGCAGCCTCAGCAGCCTCAGCAACCACAGCAGCCCCGCCAACAGTCGCAGGGTCAGGGACAGCAGCCCCAGCAGCAGCCCCAGGCTCAGGCTCAAGGCCAGCCTCCCCGTCCTCCCTCGGCGGCAGCAGTCCAAAGGCCTCTTTCCCAGGGTCCCACGGCCCAGGGACAAGCGCAGCCTCAGGTGCAGAATGCCGTTGCTGCTGCCGCCACTGCGGGTGCTCGGAACCTAGGTGCCGCGCCGCAGAACCAGCTCCCTGACAGCATCTTGAACCACCTTCGACAGCTCCAGATCCACATCCCTCCGGAGATGCGAGACAAGTCTACCGCCGAGCAGAACAAGTACGTCCAGGAGCTCAAGGGGAAGTACGGTCGCGTCCTGCTGTCCATCGAGAAATTCAAAGGTCGCATCAAGGCCATGGATCGCCAGGTCGCCCTCAAGGCCTCCCAGGGTACCCCTTACACCGAGGACGAGCTCAAGAAGATACAGGAGAACAAGGCTGCACAGGTCAAGCTGCTGAACGATGCCGTCAAGTGGATGGAAGGTTTCAAGAGACAAAGCCTCGATCCCAACAACAGCAATGTAACCCCTGCTTCTGCCGTCGCAGCTGCTGCTCAGGCTCAGGCTCAGGCCAGCCAGAAGGGAAATCAACAACAGTCTCAGCAGGGTGGAGCTGAACCTTTGCAGCAACAAACACAGCAGCCTCAGCAGCAGCATCCGGGCCAGGGAGGAATGGCTGCTCCGTCTACCAACCCTACTCATCCGAACCTACAAGCTGCTCAGGCCGGCATCAATAGGGCTTCACCTGCCAACGGAGTGCCGGCGACAAACAGCCAGGTGCCCAAGCCCAACAACAATAACAACGTCAACAACGTCAACCGCAATGCACCGAGCACCACGCAGCAGCAGGCGCAGCAGGCGCAGCAGGCGCAAAAGGCGGTCCACCCGCCCCAGGTGCCAGCTGCCGGCCAGCGACCGGGTGGTCCTGGAACACCAGCACAGGCATCAGCCGCGAGGGTACAGACACCGGTGTCTGCAGGAACGCCTGTCGCGGCTGCGGGACCGGGCCGTCCACTTAGCCACTCGGACGCCATGTCACTAGCAAACCAGCGGGCCGCCAGCACGGCAGCAAACGGCCAGGGACAGCAGGGACAGCAGCAGCAGCAGCAGCAGCAGCAGCAGCAGCAACAATTCCAGATGCAGCAGCCGCCGCAGCAACAGCAGCAACAACCGCAGCAGCAACAGCAGCAACATCAACAGCAGCAGCAACTCCAACAGCACCAGCATCAGCATCAGCAGCAAGCTGCAGGAACTCCGACATCTGGGGGGGCATCCATGGCTCAGACGGCCTCTGCACAGACACACTCGCAGCAGGGAACGCCTCAACCTGGCCAGCATACACCTCAGCAGCAGCAGCAGCAGCAGCAGCAGCAGCAGCATTATCAACAGCAGCAGCAAGGCCACTCCCATGCCCACCCTAGCCAGCAGCAGACGCCCATTCACTCCAAGATGCCGATCCCGAGGCAGCTGCCTGATAAGTCCACAGCTGTTCCTCAGGGCGTCACCATGGGCGGTGGAGTCAAGGGAAACCGTCCCACCCTCAACCAGGGCACGAGCACCATGGGCTCAGCCATGCACCAGCCCGTCATCAACAAGATCCCTGCGTACAACAACGAAGCCGAGGGAGATCATGTATTGAGTAAGAAGAAGCTCGATGAGCTTGTACGCCAGGTGTGTGGTGGCGTGTCGGAGGGTCAAGAGGGTAACTTGCTTACACCTGAAGTTGAAGAGGCAAGTTTTTCTCCTCCTTTTTTTTTTCTTCTCCAACCTTTTTTCTTTCCGTTCCTTTGTATACAATGCCTTGCCATGCACACAGCTAACATTATCCAAGAACGTCCTCAACATGGCCGACTCATTCGTCGACAATGTCCTCCACGCTGCTTGTCGAAACTCCAAGGAGCGCGGGTCCAAGGTACTGGAGATTCGAGACATCCAGCTCGTACTGGAGCGCACATACAATATTCGCGTCCCCGGATATTCGTCTGATGAGCTGAGGACGGTGCGCAAGGTGCAGCCTTCGCCTGGGTGGATTGCCAAGATGAGTGCCGTGCAGGCGGCAAAGGTGATGCCAGGGAAGGGAGAGTAGTCAACAGATGTCGTCTGGTTTTCTTCTTCTTTGTTTTTTTCCTCTTCTTCTTCTTCTCCTTTCTATTTCACTTTCATGCTTATTCCCTCTTATGCTTCTTTTTCTCATTTATTCTCTACTCCTAATCTGTTTACCTGGGCTGGCGTTGACTTGGCTTTTTCTACTTTTTCAAAACCTCTGGAGGATAGAGGAACGAACCCCTGGGGAGCAAGGAAACAAATATCACGAGCACTTTCGAGGTGACGGCTGCTATTAGTGTCTAAATATATATGAACTATATAACCAACAAACAATACAGCGTCTTATGACTGGATTGATAAAACACCTTGACGGTGATGGCTTCTGGTGATGTATTATGATGTGTAATACATACTACGTACATATATACATATATGGCGTCGTGGTTGCGTACGGCAACAAGCTTAGTCACGGTTTGTAGGCATCAGTTGACAACGTCAGTCGACTGATGCCCGGTAAGCTCCTGCCCCACTAAACCACCTCCCACCAAAAGCCCACTGTGTCCACTGCAGCTCCCAGTTTTGGGGGGGGGGATAGAAGCCTAGAGAACGGCGCCAGGCAAGCGCTGGGAGACGCACACAGAGCATGAGACAGGCGTTTTTAAGTACATAGTACTTATTATTTACGTACAGAATACATTTTTGTTCATGTACCCAGTACATAAATCCGTCCTTTGCTCCTGCTATCCTCAGCTCAAACCTTCCCTTTCCCTGCCTGCACCACAACCCGCATCCATCATCATCGTTTGACTCCAAATCACCGAAAAGAAAGCCCTGTCCGGAGACCTCGAGAGCGACACATCTCACGCCTCCCTCTTGAATCCATCTAACCAGTGTGTTTCGGTTTCCCTCCATCTCCTGATCCCCTCTTCGACTCTCCGTGTCGCTGGGCCCTCAACCTTTCAGCGCAAAACGACCACCTTTCCGGCGACGACAACGGCGACGCACAACGACCACATTGCGGGACATCGTCACCTCGTTTCCGCTGGCCATAGAGGATAAAAGGAAGACGGCTTTCCGCTCCGCAACCAAGAGATCTCAGAGACTAGAGGCAGCTGTCGACATGCCCGGCAAGACGCCCCAGAAGAACGGCAGCAAGCTGGTCGGAAACGGTGCCAAGAATAACAACAACTCCAGCAAGGCCAAGAAGCCGACTAAGGATAACGACGAGGAAATGACAGTCGTCGTTCCGCCTTCAAAGAAGCAGCCCGCGTCTGGGTCGGGTGATGCGGATGCCGATGTCGATATGGGCGATGCTGACGCCGCAAATGATGGCGTTGACCCAGCCGTCCAGGCCACAGCAGGTACGTCACACACTATCTCTCCCACCCCGACAAGGTCTTTTTCTCGTGTCTACGGTGAATAGGTGTCTTGTGTGGGAGAGGGTTTGGGATCAGAGAAGGACTGACACAAGACGCAAACGCACACACAGATATCAAGAGCAACTTTGCCCTGCTAGACCGTGCCGTGACCACGTTTGACGCGAGGTTCTCCCTCCGCGCTCTCCGATCCATCTCCCTCGTCCGCAAGCGCCTCAGTCCAGACGTCATCGCTCAGGCCATTGTCGACACATTCCCCGCCACCGTTGCCTCGGGCAACATTGCCAAGAACCTGCTCGTCGCCCTGGGCCGTGAGAACCTGCCTCTCGGTCGCCCCCCCGCCGCCGCCGCTGCCACCATCACAGAGTCGGAGACGACCGAGGGAACCGATTCGTCTAAGAAGGCCGGTTCCAAGAACGAGGTCAAGGAGGTGATCCCCGAGGTGGACATCTTCCTGGGCATCCTGATCCAGGTCTACCTGTTCGACTCGAAGCAGTACAAGAAGGGAACTGAGTTCTCGTCGTACCTGTCGGAGCGCATCCAGGCCCTCAACCGCCGCACGCTCGACTCACTGTCGGCCAAGGTCTACTTTTACTTCTCCCTCTTCTACGAGCACCTCGAGCCGCTGCCCCCGTCCCCCGAGTCGCCTCTCGTGGCGGTGCGGCCCACGCTGCTGGCGGCCCTGCGCACGGCCGTGCTGCGCAAGGACATTGACACTCAGGCCGCCGTCATCGTCCTCCTGCTGCGCAACTACCTCCTCACGTCGCACATCCACCAGGCCGACCTCCTCATCTCACACACGCAATTCCCCGAGAACGCCGTCAACAACCAGGTAGCCCGCTTCCTCTACTACCTGGGCCGCATTCGCGCCATCCAGCTGCGCTACACCGAGGCCCACGAGCACCTGACGGCGGCGACGCGCAAGGCCCCCTCGAGCGCCTGCGCCCTGGGCTTCTCCCAGACGGCCACCAAGCTGCTCCTCGTCGTCGAGCTGCTCATGGGCGACATCCCCGAGCGCTCCACCTTCCGCCTGCCCAACATGGAGGAGGCCCTGCACCCTTACCTGCTTCTGGTGCAGGCGGTGCGCGTCGGCGACCTCGAGAACTTTGAGACGACGATTGCCGAGCACGCCGGCACGTTCCGCCGCGACGGCACGTGGACGCTCATCCTGCGCCTGCGCCAAAACGTCATCAAGACGGGCATCCGCATGATGTCGCTGTCGTACTCGAGGATCTCGCTCCGCGACATCTGCATCCGCCTCCACCTGGGTAGCGAGGAGTCGGCCGAGTACATTGTGGCCAAGGCCATCCGCGACGGCGTCATCGAGGCCACGCTCGACCGCGAGAGGGGTTTCATGAAGAGCAAGGAGATCGGGGATGTCTACGCCACGCGGGAACCCGGAGAGGCCTTTCACGACCGTATCCAAGCCTGTCTGGCCCTGCACAATGAGAGTGTAAAGGTATGTCTCACAGGCCTTCTTATTTTCATTTTTTAAGAACAGGAAAGGGGAAAAGAGGAGAAGAAGGTTGGATTGCTAACGCTCCTCCTAGGCTATGCGTTTCCCCATGAACCAGCATCGCCTTGAACTTAAGAATGCCCAGGAAGCACGGGAACGTGAGAGGGAACTGCCCAAGGAGATCCAGGAGGGCGATCTGGACGACGATGACCTCGGCGGCGACTTTGACGGCATCTAAGAGGTAGCAGCAGGTTAACTTCTTTTTCCCGGAGGAGGGATTATACTGGATCCTCTCTTCTCGCAGAAAGAGGAGTCAATTTCAATTCGAGCAAAGACGTTGAAGGGCCATGCGAGTTGGCTTTAGTGTAGGGGTAGTAAATCTTGGTGCCAACCAAACAACAACAACAACAACATAATATACTGTGTTATTATTACGAGTTGAGGCCTGATCGAAGTGATAGCGTATCATGACCTTCCATTAGATTAATAGTGCTATTATGTACGACTACTATGTACGACTACTGCTGCTGCTGCTGCTATATCACTGTACGAATATCTAGCAGTTGCTCTGTACGTGGTCGAGATCAGTATGTAGGATACACGTGACTGCGCGATGATTAACCTAGAGGGGCGGCCACGACCATGACGACACTCACGACGCCAACGTCCGTTCCCCATCATTCAGGGCTAACGATCAACCCTGCAGGTTCATTTGGCCCTTTTTCTCTTCCTCTTTACTTTCCCCTTATATCCTTTGTGTCTCTGACATTGGGAGGGGGGGGAAGACATCGGCTATGGCTCCGAAACGAAAAGAAGATCTTGCCGCCCCTCCTCCTCACACGATGCGACCCCCGACGCGTAACACGCCGGTATACCCACCTATCCCACCGAATATTGTATCCCCACGTTTGGCAGCAACAGGGTCCGAGAACCAAGTATTGCAAGCCCAATATCAGCAGCAGCAGCAGCAGCAGCAGCAGCCAAGAAGACGAGGGCGGCCTAGTCTCGCACAAAAGCAGCAGCAGCAGCAGCAGCAGCAGGGACAACGAAGAATACCATCATCGGACCTTGTCGCCCCCGAAATAACATATTACGTGCCACAAGCTACGTCGACGACACCAACTACCTCTCTGGTCCGACCACATGGGCCGCCCCTTCCTGCTTCTCCTCCTACATCTGGGACGACTATGCGACCAGCACCAGCTGTAGTCACGCCGGTGCCTCCACCCAAACCACCAGCCTTCATGCCGTCTTCCCCAGCACAGCAGCAGCAACGGCAACAACCACGACAGCCAGGAACGGATCGAAACATTGATAAAGTGGTGTTCGGGGACCTGTGCTTCCGTACGTGGTATCCCAGCTACTACAACAAGGAGCTACTGGGTGTGGCGGAGGGAGACGACACCGAAGGAGGAGGAGGAGGTGGTGGTGGTGGTGGGGCGGGATCCAAGAACAACAGCAACCATGGGAAGGGAAAGAACCATGGCAAGGGAAAGAATCAGCAGAACCAGCAGCAGCAGCATACTGCCAGTTCACCCATGCTGGAGAGACTGTACGTGTGCCCCAGCTGCTTCAAGTACTCCAAGGAACTCGTGGCCTGGTGGGGTCACGTCCGTGTCTGCCAGCTGAGGGGTTCGGTCCCCGGGCGCAAGATATACGTCCATCCGGGCGGGAAGCGAAAGGTCATGGTCCAGCAGCAGCAGCAGCAGCAGCAGAGCGGGAAGAGGAAGAGGGGCGGTGGTGAGCAGTTTGCCGAGGAGACGGTCGAGGACAGGGGGGAGTGGAGTATATGGGAGGTTGACGGGGAGCAGGACAGGCTCTACTGCCAGAACCTGTCGCTCTTCGCCAAGCTCTTCCTCGACAACAAGTCCGTCTTCTTCGACGTGACGGCATTCAACTACTACCTCCTGGCCTACACGCCGGCGCACGACACCCTCCCGGACGGGTCGCGGGACCACATGGCGGACCCGCCGCAGCCGCAGGTGGTGGGCTTCTTCTCCAAGGAGAAGATGTCGTGGGACAACAACAACCTGGCGTGCATCCTCGTCTTCCCCCCCTGGCAGCGCAAGGGGCTCGGCGCCCTGCTCATGGGGGCGTCGTACGACATGTCCCGCCGGGAGGGCGTGGTGGGGGGCCCCGAGAGGCCCATATCCGATCTTGGCAGGAGGGGATACAAGCGCTACTGGGCCGGAGAGATTGCCAGGTGGCTCCTCGGTCTGCCCGATGCCGTCGATGGCAAGCAGGAGAGAGAGGAGAGAGAGGGGGTGGTGGTCGTCGATGTCCGGGACTGCAGCGAGGCTACGTGGATCGCCGTGGAGGATTGTCTGGCCGTCCTGAGGGATATGAATCTCGTGAGGGATGCCGGCGTGGGACCGGGTAAGAAGCCGCTTCCTAGGCCTGCGGGTGATGGCGATGGCGAGATGGATGTCGATGGCGGTGGTGCTGGTGCCGGTGCCGGTGCTGATGATGGAGCCTGTCTGCCCGATGTGCCTAGGGTTAGCATAGACAAGGAGGCTGTCAGGAGATATGTTGCTGAGCATAAGCTGAATCTCGAAAGGATATGCGATCCTGCCGGGTTTTTGTGACTTTAACCCCCCCCCCCTTTTTTTTTCTTTTTTTTTGTATCGCTACAGTACGTATACCCAGTTTCTTTCTACAAGTTTTCACACGATGCGTCATGATTGTTTTCTCCGTTAGATTGTAACATTTTGTGGATGGACGCGATTACGACTTGAATCAACCATAGTTTCTATCATACACATATATATATATATATATTACATGTTCTATTACTCTAACTCAATCAGACGTGATATTCACAATGATTCCACCCAACAGTATTACTTTCTATAACATCTAAGTTGTACCATATATACGTTTCTGTTATTCCCATTCAATCTAGCGAGATATTCAATTGTTTCTTCACTTGACAACAAATCGAGTCTTGAATGGCTGATATTCCATCTTGTTGAATTTCCAGCACATCGGGTCAAGGGTAAGCTAGTGATGAAGGCTCTGCTTAGGGGAGGTGGGGTGTGGTTAAAGCATAAAAACTCGCATTTCGACCGGGCCCGACGTCGGAGCCGGAGGTTGTGTGTTCCGTAGCCGTGTACTCATTGTCCACTGATTTACCGGGGTTCCGTCTTTTTGTTTCCCTTTTTTTTCTTTTTCTTTTTTTCTTTGATTATTTTTTTTGACATGCATATGTTACACTCATAGTCATACACGACGCATCGTGTCTGATTGATAACAACAAGGTAGGTAGCGCTCGATCTCCATGACCGCTGCTTGTACGTTCGTGCCTCTCTACTCTATACCTTGCTACTACCCCTCAATCCGAGTAGCATCAATCTCATATATCTCGTAATACGTAGTTTTTTTTTTTTGTCCTCTCCACAGTTTTCTTGGATACCTGTACTTGTACATGATACGAGCTCCTCCTTACTTTGTGCTCCAAGTATGGAGTACAGAGTACTTGTATCTGTAGAGATGCAAGCAAAGCATCGCAAGTAATAAAACAAGCTCCCCCCCCCCCCCCCTTGCAGCCTCAGGCTTCAACATCTCATCGCTCGGTAATAAAGGGGCGAGGGCATTGTATTGAAGAAGTTTGAAAGAAAAGTAGAGATTCTTTCTGAAATTCTTATATATAATACAGCGGGGTCAGTTGGATTTCCCGGGGAATGAGCACTTCCGTGGGCAGCTGTGCATACATGTAGATACTGTGGGTTGGCTGCGCTGTAATGGTGGTTTTCATCTGCTGAAAGTGCTGTCCCATACACTATTGACCAGTACATGTACGGAGTATAGGTAATCGATGAATATACAGACAGGCCTTCCATATCGTAGCCTCAGGCTTAGATCTCTGCCCAATCGGACATGGACTGGAGTTTATGCCTCGACAACAAGGCTGAGAGAACTTGCAGTGCTTGAACTTTACTGTCCCATGAACTAGCTTGACTGTGCATATATATATATATATGTGTGTGTGTGTGTGTATATTCATACTACTGTCCTCCAATATGTATTACAGATGTTCATTGGTATAACTTCTACCAGCAATTGCGATTACGAGTACGAGACGATAACCTGTACTCGTGCTGATTCAAGTCCCAATACCGAGCTCAAACCCTCCGCCCACCCGATCCTTGACTGAGATAATTACCTCTCCCCTTGCCTCCCCACAGTCTCCATATATGCACCGTAATTACGGTACGGACGGTGCTTTGGAGTATGGGAGAGTATTATGTTTATGTACTGGCGGTAATATGTCTGTGTCGTGTCCTTTGGTTGTCTGTAATCTGTAGTAATATTGCTTTCAGACTCTGTAACCTGTAGAGATTACAGAGTCCAATGTCCGTTCTTTGTCATCATCTCCAATGCCAACCATCAGTCATCAGTCGTCACCACCATCGATATCACCTTTGCCATCGCTGTACACCGTGAACCGATTGCAATGCCATCAGTGTCAACGCCTACAGAGTATAATAATCTACTCGTACATATTCTCCTGCCCCTACTTCCCAGCAACAAGAGAGATTCGATCCACTCATCCTCTTCTCTCAGAGCAATCTCATCGCCGTAAAGCCTCTCCCAACCCACCCGGCTTTCCCCGATGGGTTACTCACCTGGTGTAAAATCCAAAATCCGTACCACCGCAGCCTCGCACCTGCAACCTCCTTTCTCAACCCCCCGGGTCTCTCTCTCTTCTGAGGAGTTCCCCGTAGCCGTGGCGGTAGCGGTAGCGGTAGCGGTAGCGCGGTAATTCTCTCCGTGACTGGAGTGCTCGTAGTCCCCCATAGCACTGTACTCCCTGTACGAGTTCTGTGCTCTCTCCCCCGTAGCCGTAGTTACAGGCCTTGCCCGTACCGTAGCAGCCTTTTGACCTCAGGCATTCTTTCACCTGGTCCTCGTCCTATCCCGTTCAACATTGTGGGTCCCCCTTCCCACCCGCTGGCCCTTTTTTTCCCTCTTCCCTTTTTTCCCTTTCTCCCCTTCTCTTTTCTTCCTTCCAGCTTGAGCTTCTTCCAAACTCTTTCTCTCATCCATCCATCCCCAACTCTCCTTTCTCACCACCACCCACCCACCCACCACATAAACCATCATCACAATGGCCGCCCTCCGTGTCTCCGCCACCCGCATGGCCTCTCAGATGGCCATCAAGGCCGCTCGCCCTGCCATGCGTGCCCCCGTCACTGCCGCTGCCAAGCGCACCCTGAGTGAGTTTTACCGAGCATGAACAGAAAAAACCTCGCCAGCTCCCCCCTCCCCTGAGCCCAGCCTACCACCGAGCTTCAGCAAGGCACAACACGAGGGCGAGAGCCATTGAGCTCTCCCCGAACTCAATGGCATCGTCTGGCGAGGTCAATTGGCATCATTGGAGAGACAAACCAGACTGACTTGCGTCTTTTTCCGCCCCAAACAGCCACCGGCTCCCCCATGCAGGCCGTCAAGCGCCAGCAGGCCTCCACCATCCTCAAGGCTGCCAACCGCAACGCCTTCCAGGGTCAGCGCCGCGCCTACTCTTCTGAGATGGCCAACGCCCTCGTCGAGGTCTCTAAGAACTTGGGTATGGGCTCTGCCGCCATCGGTCTGACTGGTGCTGGTATCGGTATCGGTCTCGTCTTCGCCGCCCTCCTCAACGGTGTTGCCCGCAACCCTGCCCTCCGTGGCCAGCTCTTCTCCTACGCCATTCTGGGTTTCGCCTTCGTCGAGGCCATCGGTCTTTTCGACCTGATGGTTGCCCTCATGGCCAAGTTCGTAAGTCAACGCCTCTATCTCGACGCCTTGCCTTCGTCGGAAGTTGCCTAGCAAACTGGCTTCGACAACTTCCGAGGAGAGTCGAGTCCAAAACATGTTGAAAAATTACCACCGTTCTGACAATCGTCAAACAGACTTAAATTATTCCCACGACGCCAACCGAGACCGCTCGCACCGACCGAACGACCTCAGGTTGAAGGGCCTACCTGGCTCAATGCATTTCGCGGAGTTTTATGGCCCGTCGCTGCGGTCTCACGTCTGCGTCGGCCAGAGATGATAGAAAGGGGACCTGCATTGTAACTTGCCGGGATAGACTCTTTGAGGAGGAGAGACGATGACGGGGGACGAATCTGTCGTCTCTTTGAGATAGAGTTGGGGAAACTGCTTTGTCGCTTGTTTTCCCTCCGGGACCACTTGTAAAATAAAAAGCCTCATCCCGTACCGGATTCTTCATTACTCGAAGACGCCAAATTTCTTTTTCCTTTGTCAAATCCAAAAACCATTTGAGAAAATCCAATGATTTTTGAATGCCTCGCCATCTCTTGAATGAAATAATCTTTTTATGCTCTTGGCTTCTGTGGATCCTGAAACCCCAGGTTTTCCAGCTTTTGTGACCATTGTCCATTCGGCGCTGACGAGAAGGCGGGTGACGTGTATTGCCTTCGTTGACCCTGTTGCTGGTGCTGCTCTGCTGCTCCGGACCGGGACTCGATTATTGCTGAGGCATTTGGTGAGCTTCTGTCCGGGGAGACGGAGCTTGCCTTGGCTGCTGGACCGCGGGGATCCTTAAGTGCATGTTTCCAGTGGCATCAGTGGACCGCAGTGGTCGTGGCAGTGGCCGTGGCAGTGGGAAGCTGTGGCTTGTAGCGGATATCATGGCGCTGTAATTCCCTGGAATGCCCTGTCCGTCTTTGTTGGTTAGTGGTCCGTAGACCACTGGTGCACTTTAGGATGAGGGAGATCTGGCCTGGGCAATTAGCCGAGGTAAGCCGATAATCCGCCAGCTCCGGAGGAGGCCGGATATTCCCCTCGTACATAGCTTTATCCAATACTTGTTGGCTTCTGGCTGGCTGCTGGCTGGGAGAAACAGGTTGACGGCGTACTCCCCCAGAGAGGGGGCGACGGATAAAACTATGCCTGTATAACAAGGCACAAACGACGCTGGCATGCTCAGCCGCTAAGGGCACAGCCGACTCCACACGGTGCCAAACTGGTGCCCTTATCGTGGGGCCCCCTCTCGAGGCCAATAGGGCCTCATGGTCTGAGAACGACGAGTGGATCAGACAAAGCCCGTGACCTCACCCTCCCGGTTTGTTTCTCCATAATTGAAGGGGAGGAAGCGGGCAAGAGGCTCTGGGGTGTAATATGTAAAGGGACCAGTCGCCAGGACGCATAAGTGAAAGTCTAAACTCACCTCATCTGGCTTTATACATCGGGCTTCACCTATCGGGTGCCGAAATCGTTGAAGAGAAGGCTTCGAACATGAAGCATTGTCTTGAAGATATTCTCGATCCACGACACTGGCTAACCTGTCCAGGGTAAGTTTGACGGACCACTGATAGACATTGTAGCTGAACTTCGGAGGTCCGAACATCCCGCCGACGAGAAAGACGACGTGCAAGGTGCTGTGAAAACCGATCGAGGGTAACACGCAAACGGCTGTTTCTGCCTGCCCCCCCCCCCCCTTTCGATCAATACCGTGGACACGCCTGGTCATTTCCCGACGACTATGGCTTGTCTTGGTCGATGCTCGAAGGCGATATATTGTCTGGTCAAAGGCTAGCCAACCTGGGGCTCTGAGGACGGCCACCGTCATTGAATGTCACTCTCAGACACCACCACCCTTGAATCACTGTGGATGGAAGGCCCATGCTGGACCCGGCGACTTGTTGTCATGGCGTGTCCAATGTCCCCCCGATAGGAGGCCTGCTCCATGATCAGTACTCGTCATGGCATCGATCTAGTCACGCGGGGCTGCGACCCATACCCAATTTCCTAGAGAGACACGCCTCTGTCCCCAGTCATTGCTAAACGAAAGGAAACAACGAGGAGGGAAGACTGGTCGACAAGCAAAGCCCCAGGGAGTGTATCGTCTTGACCCAGCAAGACCAGTCAGGCCCTGCCACTCAGCCACTCACTTACCGTCAGGCAAATCCATCACGCGGCCGCCCCGAATGAGGTGTACCATGAAAAAATGACGTCGTCTCGATAATGCCTTCCAACATCAGAACGATTCCCATTGGCGATTCCAACGGGCTAATGAATGAATCACAACGAGGAGAATAAAGACACGCAGATGGCGATGTCGATGAAAGAAAAAGAAGAAAGAAAACATAAGCAGGCAACTCCCTTTGCTCCTTCCTTCCCGCCCTATCCCCCTCTCCTCACTTCCCCTCACCAAAACGTCACATGACTCAACCCGTACCGCTACGCGGTGGGAGGACAAGAGGGGAGGGGGAGGGATTCAGGGGTTGATTGGGTACGGGGCCGTCAAATCATCATGTCAGGAACTTGAAATGACTTCGGGACTGCGTCGTCGCGGATCGAACGTCGTGGTTGCATCTGGGGTTGCATCTGGGGTTGCATCTGGGGTGCATGTACCAAGACCCCGAATGCGATGCCTACGAGTAGCGGCGCCCGGGGGAAAAAGAGAGAAAGATCTGTTCTAATTGCAATTGTCCAATTCATCATTGAGTCTAGAGGTACAAGGTCTCGCTACTTCTTTCGCTAATCGTCGCATATGTGTCTGTTGGCATAACGGCAAACGACAAACAAAAAAACAAGTCTTCTCTTATCCCATTGTGCAATGAGTTGGAGGGTCGGGTGATGATATCCAGAGTGCCCTGTACTACCGGCAACCTCGTATATGTATGCGCACACATTTCATCACCTGCGTCTGCTTGTCTGACAAGAGTTAAGGGGTACATTGTGTGGCCGCTCAGAACATGTGTACAGGAATGAGTTTGAGAGTAAGGAAAAATGATATATACATGTACACGTACATCCTCGAAACACAGATGCTTGAGAGAGCAAGAACATGGAGTAATCTACTTCTTAAACGTAGCGCTCCTCTCTCCACGTATGGGAGGAGCCTTCCTCGCCGCCTTGACGCCGTCCTCAACAGACTTGACGTACGGGTCAAACACACGCGCCTTGTCCTTCTTCCTCTTCTGCTCGTTGGACTGCGAATTGCGATCCGCATCCATGACCGAGGCAGCCTTGCTATAATCAAACGGCACGGCCGCATACTTTTGTTGCCCTTGACCTTGTTCTTGAGCCTGAGCCTGGGTTTTGCTGGCCTCGGCGTGCTCCCTGTTGCCCTCTTTCTCCTTCTTGCGCTGGGCTTTCATCTCCTTGCGCTTCTCCTTGATGGCCTTCTTGTCTTGCTGCTGTTGGAGAAGGGTTTGACGCCTCTCCTCCTTGCGAACTTTTTTATTGGCGCCGCTGGCCCTGGCCCTGCTCTTCTTAGACTCGGACTTGGAGCCGTCAAGGGAGAGGATGCCGCTGTTGTCAGCTTCCTCCTCTGTTGATCCTTCCCCTTCCGAGCTCGTGTCGTCGTCGTCGTCGTCGTCGTCATCTTTTTCCTGGGTGGGTGCCTTGCGCTTCTTGCCTCGCTTCAGGGTAAATTCCTCGTCGACATCTTCCTCCTCTGGAATCTCGGCAGCAGCTGCGGCGGCGGCGGCGGCGGCGGCGGCAGACTTCTCTGTCTCGTGCCCCGCTCCTGCCTCTGGTGCCGCCGCATCCACTTCATTGGCCATGTCCTGCACGAAGCGCTGCCACGGGAACGGAATGTTGTCGTCTTGACGCTGCAGCTTCTTGGACTCCTCCCACCGCGAACTGATGGGCATGCTCCCAAACAGCTGAGACTGGGTCAGCCTCGGCACGGAACCACCCGCCCCGTCGTCCTCCTCCACCTTTGGTAGGGTGGCAGCGGCAGACACCTTTTTGGCCATCCTGGACCCGCCGTTCCTGCGGAGAGACTCGGGCGCCTGTGTCGTGAGGAAGTGCAGGAGTGTGGGTCCGCCCTCGGCCTTTGTGGCCTGCACCTGCTCCCAGATCTTGTTGAGGCGTGGCCGTGCTAAGGGTGAGCTGAGCGGCAGCATGCTGTGTAGAGCCTTGATGTCTGGCGGGTTGACGCGGGCGATTTGCACAATGGTGTTGGAGCTGAGGACGAAGTTGGGGTTCTCATCCTCCTCCCTGGCCGTCACGTCCCTCCACTGCCACAGGGCGCGGAAGACGGCAAACTGGTCGGCGTCGAGCGAGAGATGCCCATTCTTGAGGATGTAATTGTACCAGCCTCGGGAGCCCTCGCCCGTCTTGGCGTTGCACTCGGCGTGCTCGTGGCGGTAGAGCGACACCTCCCTGGACTTCTCTAGCGCGCGCCGTATCAGGTCTGTCTCGGGATCTGATCTGTCCGACGAGGCGACGAGGTCGTTGCGGACGCGGTCGTAGATGTACAAGAGGTAGTGTGTGTCGGATCGGGCGTAGTACATCATCTCCTTGGGGATGGGCCTGTCATCATGTTAGTCTGCTGCTCAAGGTCCTATCGAGGGCGTATGAGTTTGAGGGTGGTAGGAGTCTTACCGCATCCTCCAGTCGGCCAATTGGTATTGCTTGTCAGCGGTGAAGCCGGCAAAGGCGGATAGGAGGTAGGCTAGACTGCGGCCAGGGTAAGCCAGCATCTCGCAGGCGAAGTATGTGTCGAACAGGCCGTTGACGTAGAGGCCGAGGTCGCGCTGCAGCCAGATCATGTCCATGTAGGCGCCGTGGAATACCTGTACGAGTGCAGTGTGAGCTCTTTTCACGAGCATGCGTCGTGTATTCGCTATGCACGGAGGGGATTCAGGGTACTCACCTTGATGATACTAGGATCGGCAAAAACCTGGTTGAGGACCTGGAGCTTGTGACGCCAGGGTCGGAGGGTGTCGACGATCCAATCCTGCTCGCGCGTGCTTACCTGCATGAGGCAGACGAGGCCGGTATAGGTGCGGAAGTCGTGATGTTCGAGGTCGACGGCAATCTCCTTGGACTTCTTTAGGTGCTCGAGCATGTCTAGCACGCCCTCGTAGGTGTCGACAAAGGTAGGTTCGGACTTGTCCATGGGTTGGAAGGGTATGGCTTCGGCTTTTTGAAATACGTGTTTGGGGTAGTCCATGATTGTGATTTCCGTCTCGTAGGGATGCTTGTATCTGTATATATATATTTCGTTATGAGAATCTTGACTGCATGACGGCTTGTGAGGAAACGAAACATGAGAAAAGAGAACCATACTGGGGAGATCCGCTTGCGTTGGGAGCAATAACAAGACTGTCATCGAGGGAGACAGTGGCATGCGGCTTGTCTGTGATGATGGGCCTCCACGGTCCGGTGGGGAAATTGTCCGGCTGGACCTCGAAGTGAGTCTGCGGCTTGGTGATGTTGGCGTTGCGCACCACCTTGGAGACTGGCTTGGCCTTTTTCGCGTCGGGGCCGTTTGCTGAGTCGGCGGTGGGGGGATCCTTGCGCTTGATCAGACCGGTGTACTCGTCGAGAGCTGTGTCGGCTTTTTCCAGGACCGTGTCGACGACGTCCACGACAGAGCGCCACTCGAGATCGATATCGTCGCTATCCTCGAGCGTGGGGGCCGAGAGACCACAGGCGTCGGCGGCAGACTTGAGCAGGCGTGAAGATATCGAGAGAAAACGCGCCGACGCGTCGTCGAGCTGCTGGGCGACGGCCGGGTTGACGGTGCGTTGGAAATTGAGATCTTCGGCGGCGATGCGGTTGACCGTCTTGACGACAGAGACAAGTGACTTTTGCGTGGATTCCTGGACGGACGAGAAGTCCTGCCTCCTTGACTCCATGATGGGCAGCAGAGCCGTTGGTGGAGTTTTTTTTTTTTTTGGGGGGGGGAAGCGGTTTGAAGAGATGGCTGCTGCTACTGCTTATGAGAGAGGCCGTTGGAGATGTCTGGGTGTTGCATCGAAAAAATCACCAGGCGCGGGTCCAGATGCTTATCGATAAAGAAAGACAGTCATGGACCCTGTGATTATGTAACAAAATATTATGTCATCATAAATTACTATTTGCACGCACTTCTCTCTCACGTATTCGTCATTGCCGTGTATAGGCCGTACTATGGCAATGTGAATACTGCCGACAAACTCTCATAGCTGCTAGTGGCCTAATATATAAGTCGTACTCGGTCAAACTGATACAGTAACGCATTCAGTGGAAATTGGCTGTAACACACGATCTATGATCCCATGACCATGACACGGTTAGAGTGTTGTCGTCATATGCATGGAGGTCTGAGCCCCAAGACGATCGTCCCACTGGCTACTGGGCTCGAGGGCACATGGCCAAAAATTTACGATACTATAGGAGACCTAGAGGAGCTTACAGGGAGCTGACAGGGCTACGGGGAAGCTGCAGTGACCTTGCAGCGCAAACAGTACCTACCGCCACTATAATATAGGCGCCAAAGCCGAGGACCCGGCGCTTCTGCGGACAGCTCCGGAGCTCTCCTCCGTAACCCGGCGGGAGGGAACAGGGCAGAGACGAGGTATGGTGGAATGGTGGCATCATTGAATGCTGTAGGGATGGATATGGACTGGAGTAAAAAGATGTTTAGCGGGAATAGAAGCAGTAGAACCAGTTGAGATCTTGAAGATAAAAATGCAAGTTGACGAAAACGATTCAAGGGAAAAAAAAAAGCACATTCTGCTCCCAAACTAAGAAACCTTTTTCTGTCTCGGTCTTTGTGCATCAATTCCCTCGTCAAACCCCACCTTCATACGAGCCATCTTCTTTTTTCTTCTCTGCCCCTCCTCTGCTTCAGTTGTACTTGTACCCCAAGCACCTTCCCCTTTGCCACACTTGTTCTTTCCCCTTCCTCCCTGTTCCTGCCTCTCGTGCTCTAACGAAAGCATCGACTCTTTTTAGCTGTAAAGCTGGAAAAAATTCTTCCCTCTCCCGTCCCCTAGCTCTAGTTCCCGCATCGTTCCTTCCTTGTGGCTCCGCCTTCCGTGCCTTCCTTGCCCATCGAACCGAACATCGCCACCTTCCATCTTTCACCTTCAACCATCTCTACTCCTCGCCAGCAGGAACAAGGCATTTCCTTCCGACCTTTCGACTCACAGCTTACCCCTTTCCTTTCACACATACATACGCACCGCCGACTACTACTAGAGAGTGCTACTGTACCATATAACATGGCCGACATTACCCACGACGCAGAACCGGCCAGTGGCCGTCTTCTGCTCCTCTCCAACCGTCTCCCCATCACCATCAAGCGCTCCGAAGACGGCAAATACAGCTTCTCCATGTCGTCCGGAGGCCTCGTCACCGGCCTCAGCGGCCTCAGCAAGACAACCAACTTTCTGTGGTATGGATGGCCCGGCCTCGAGGTCCCCGAGAACGAGGTCGATCACATGAAGCAGCATCTCAAGGACGAGTACGGTGCCCACCCAGTCTTTATCGACGACGAGACGGCCGACAGACACTACAACGGATTTGCCAGTGCGTATTATACCATATATCATGTTCATTCTGGGTGGCCTCTGCCTTTGTACCCTTCTGGAAATAAACACCGGACCACTGACCATAAATCATGACAAACAGACTCTATCTTGTGGCCCCTCTTCCACTACCACCCCGGCGAAATCACATTTGACGAGTCAGCTTGGGCTGCCTACCAGGAAGTTAACCGCCTATTTGCCAAGGAAGTCATCAAAGATGTCCAGGACGGCGACCTCATCTGGGTCCACGACTACCACCTAATGCTTCTCCCCCAGATGCTGCGAGAGGAGATTGGCAACTCCAAGAAGAATGTCCGCATCGGCTTCTTTCTGCACACACCCTTCCCAAGCAGTGAAATTTACCGTATTCTTCCCGTGCGCGAGTCCCTCCTGTCCGGCCTTCTTGACTGCGACCTCATCGGCTTCCACACCTACGATTACGCTCGACATTTCCTCAGCAGCTGCTCACGTATCCTCGACACGCCCACAACGCCCAACAGCGTCAACTGGAAGGGCCGCACCGTGACAGTGGGTGCCTTCCCTATCGGAATCGACCCGGAAAAGTTTGTCGAGGGCCTCCAGAAGCCGTCTGTGCTGCAGCGTATTGCCGTCCTCCGTCGCAAGTTTGAGGGAGTCAAGCTGATTGTGGGAGTGGACCGCCTCGATTACATCAAGGGCGTGCCCCAGAAGCTCCACGCCCTCGAGGTTTTCTTGTCCGAGCACCCGGAGTGGATCGGAAAGATTGTCCTGGTGCAGGTGGCTGTGCCGTCACGCCAGGATGTCGAGGAGTACCAGAACCTGCGGGCCGTGGTCAACGAGCTGGTGGGACGCATCAACGGCCGCTTCGGCACCATTGAGTTCATGCCCATCCACTTCCTGCACCAGTCGGTCTCGTTCGAGGAGCTGACAGCTCTGTACGCCGTGTCGGACGTGTGCCTGGTCTCGTCGACGCGCGACGGCATGAACCTGGTCTCGTACGAGTACATTGCTACCCAGCGCGAGAACCACGGCGTCATGATCCTCTCCGAGTTCACCGGCGCGGCCCAGTCGCTCAACGGCAGCCTGATTGTCAACCCCTGGAACACCGAGGAGCTGGCCAATGCCATCCACGACGCCGTAACGATGCGGCCGGACCACCGTGCTGCCAACTTCAAGAAGCTGGAAAAGTACGTCTTCAAGTACACGTCTGCTTGGTGGGGAGCTAGCTTCGTTGGTGAGATGATGCGTCTGTCTCGTGACAATGACCAGCGGAAGACGCTGCGTAACGTCTCTGGAGCGGTTGAATCCACTCCCATTGAAGCGCCACCTCCATACCAGGAGTAACTTTCTTCTTCCGTAGTCCTGTCACTCTTCACTCTTGTTGTCATCTATACACTGTTGTTGGTAGGTTTTGTCAAGCGGGCGTCTTTAGGTTCAATTGCTAGTATTCCACGCCGAAAACGCTGCACTCCCCTCTTTACGTCCCTGGTATGGTTATGAAGCGGCATGGGTACTTTCTCTCTCTCTTTATGGGTTTTATTTTCTCAAATATTTTCTTCCTTTTTTGTAGAAAAGAATTTTGTTTATTATAATGATGAAAAAAAGGAAACACTCAGCGATAACTATACCAAGTTTTGCTTCCTCGGTCTTGTGAATTAAACTTGCGGTGAAATGCAATTTGGAACATACCATCCATTATTATTACTATTACAAGCAGCACTGTAAGAAGCGTGTGGGAAGGCAAATCATTGTAAAGCACCAGAAATGATGGAATCGAGAACCAAGAATTTTAGCCTCGTAAGGTATTAGGTATCTTCGAAAGAAGGGAGTTGTTTAAAAAAAAAACAAAGAAAAAAAACCGTGACAGTTTTCCTGGCTCACCACGTGTATATACATCGCCGTCCTCTGTGTCGAATACCCGACCAACTGGATCATTCAGCGNGGGGGGGAGAAAGAAAAACAGAAAACAAGAAGAGAAAGGAAGAAGGAAAAAAAAAACCTAATAGGGTGAGTCGACAATCTCATCCCTTCCAAGCTTATAACTCTTTCGTCCTCCGGAAGATCGACCGCCGCCGAGCCTGAGATCACCCATGATGGATTCTCGCGTGGGTTTCTTGAGGCTTTGCTTGGCCACCATGTTGACTTCGTTTGGCAGGGCGACGATGACGTTCTTGTCCGAGCCAAACTTGAAATCGTCGGCCTTGACCTCCTCCTCGTACCTCTTGATCTTGTACGGGGCCTTCATACCCCTGATGATGCGGCGCAGGTTCCACTCGATGATGTAGGGACCCGTGGCCGTGATGATGGACGTCTCCTCGGTGCCGTCGATGTTGGTGTTGAACTTGGCAGGGGTGAAGGAGACGGTGTTGCCCGTCTCGTGGAAGAACTGGGCCACGTGCTCCGGCGTGAGGGCCAGACGGCGCGGGCGAGGCTTCTGGTCGGCCGAAAAGGCCTTTTCGAACCCGAGCTTGCCCTCGTTCTTGTCGCCGTGCTGCTGCGCGTCGATGAGAAGGATGTAGTTCTTGGTCGTGGCTAGGATCCACCGTCCGTCTGCCGACACGTCCATGCCGACGATGGGGTCGCCCAGGGCGGGCAGCGACGTCTTTGCCCGGATGCCCAGACGGTCAAACAGCCGGATGTCGCCCTTGTTGCTCGCCAAGGCGATGAAGCCCTTCTCCGTCGTCGCCAGCGCCGAGAAGTCGATCTTGGTCGCGTACTGCTTCAGCTCGCTGTCCACCAGCTTGTTGCCCGACGCGCGGGGGTCTATGCGGAACAGGGCGTTGTTGGACACGCCCAGGAAGGTCTGCTCGCCCGTCATCTGCGAGAACTTCTTCTCCGGCCCAAACGTCACCACGGGTATGTCGTCGTGCACCTTCCACTCGTCCACCACCTTGCCGTACTCGAGGTCCATGCGGTACAGACTGTTGGGGTCGCTGGCGTTCTGCAGGACCAGGTCACGGTCCTCCGAATGCAGCATCACCTTGCTTGGGTTCATGAGCTTGCCGCCGGGCGTCGTCAGATGGGAGATGTTGGTCGAGAACTCGAGCCGGTTGTTGGGCGTGTGTTTGAAGACACCAATCTTGGACCCGCGCACCACGAATGACCGGTCGTGCTTGTATCCCACGGCCAGCTGTGAGTTAACCTCGCCACCGTCACGTCCCTGGACGTCCGTGTTGTCGTACTCCTCGTCCGAGTCGTACTCTTCGTTGCGGATGCCGCCGTCGTCTCCGTCGTCGTCTCCGTCAGCCCTCCCAGCCTCGTCTTCCTCCTCATCCTCCTCGTTGAGCGGCGGGGCATCGTCCATCCTGAGATCGCCAAAAGAGTCGAGCACATACTCGCGCTCCTTGTCCTGGACCATTTGCCACTTAGTCTCGTTGAGCTTCTCCCAGACGGCCTGCATGATACCCTCCTGGAACTTTTCGAGTGTGGGCTGATCCCTGAAGCGGAGCAGCCACGACCTGGCGGTGCCGTCGTTGGCGAAGTGGTTGAATACAAAGGACAGGAACTCGAAGTCGAAGACGGGATTGATGTCGGCCTGGACGGACATGCTGACCCAACGCCTGTCCCTGCCGGTAATCGTCAGCCAGTACTGCCACTTGCCGACCTCGGAGACGGTGGCGACGGCGGCATCGTCGACGAGGGCGAAGTGACCTGGCTGGGGGTCGAAGACGTGCAGCTCGGCGGGGAGCGAGGCGTAGATCTCGAGGGCCTCAGGCGGGGCGTCGTCGACATCGCGCTCCCCTTCCTCCTCCTCACCGTCCCCGGCCTTTACCGCGGCACCGGCATGCTTCCTGGACGGGGGCGTCTCGGGGATGTCATCGTGGGCGGTGGCGGGGGCCATGATGTCAAACGAGCTGTCGATGGAGCGGGTCAGGGTGGGACTCTGAAGCGGACTGGCGGCGGGGATAGGGTGCTCTTCGAAGAAGGTGAACTCGTCTAGATCGTCTTCGGATGCAGTCGTGTGCGGCTTGCGGTACTTGCGCTCATACTGGCACTCCTTGGCGACGCGGAGGAGCCGGTCGACGGCGTCGTCGGCGACGGAGCTGTCGCAGACAAACTCGTAGAGGTCACCTGTATCACCGCTGAGGTCCCTCCAAGCCAGGATCTTCTCACCGCCTTCCCTGGTCTCGATGCGGAAGTGCAGGGCCTCGTCGAGCAGGAAGGTCTTTTCGTCGCGCTCAGAGGCGAGAGCGTCGATCTCAGCGTCCTCGCCCTCCTCCTCGGCCAGAAGCTCGGCCTCGCCCTCCTCGTAGACGCGCTGGACGACGAGCTGATACTGGAAGTCTTGGTGGGTGGGACGGACGCGAATGGCGGCGTCCTTGACGATGAGCTCGGAGTAACCCTTGGGGGAGAGGGGACGGACGAGGTAGAGCTGACCCTGGGGGAGTTCGCAGAGGGCTTCCTGTGAGCTGGAGCCGAAGAGCAGCTTGCCGACTGTTGCGTGTTAGCGATCCCAGCAAGAGGGAAGAAGAAAACAAAAGATGGAGAGAGATGAGATAGAGTGATGGGGGAGGTGTAAGAGGAAGGGTGGAAGGAGAAGAGGAGGAGCAGGGTTGGGAGAGAGGGTTTCATTGCATCATGTGCTTACGAGTGTGGGGCACACAGCGGCAGCAGCAGCAGCAGTCAAAATGAGGATGGTGTAGCAATAATAATGGTGGGAGAGAATAGCGAGTAGCAAAACAGTTACCTACCGTTTCGCAGGACAAACATGCTGAGATGGGGCAGCAAAGCCCGTTATCACACGCCGCCTCTTTTGAGGATGGTGAATGTTATGATGATGGTTTTTTTCTTTTTCTTTTTCGAGAGGGGTTGGGGTTGGGGTTGGGGTTGGGGTTGGGTTAAGAGGAAGGCGAAGCTGAAAGAGAGTACACACAATAAAAAAATGTCCACGTTAATCAGAAGAAAGAGAAAAGAGGAGGAAGAGAATAGGGAGAAGGAGGGGGGGGGAGATGTCTAGGGGTGATCAGAAAGCTGCGAGTCAGCTGAGAATGTATTAGAGTAGCACTATGTCAAAGTGCGTCATAGGCAACTCTCAGCCCTTTCTTAATCCGAGGGAGGCAAGGAAAAAAAGGGAAAGAAAGTTGTTGTTGTTGATGATTGTCGTAGCAAGACATCTAATAGCTTAGGTAAGCTAGACTCAACCATAAGACCGTCGAGCCCGACACTACGATAATGATACAGCACAGAACGCTTGACCTACCTCGAATGTATGTCAGGCGTGTTTTGTGGTGTGTGTGCTCTCACAAGCATCTATTGCTGTTCAACTATATCCAGATACCTTCTCACTGCTCCAAACACTCTCCCGCCATTCCTCGCACGCGGTCTTGCTTCACGTGTCGATCTTGGCGTCTGTACCGTCAAACTCGACACCGTCCTCGTCAGAACACAGCACAGGGACATCTCTGCTTTTATGCCAACAAGCACGGCGGAAGAGTATGGAAGATGCTCTCGGGAGCCGAAAACAGGTGCTCTAGGCTCCCATTTTCGGGTCCTAGGGCTGCGACGCACGCACTTACTCTATATCGTGATTGATTATATGAGTTGCCAAGTTGGAATCGTAAATGTTGGCAGCTGAAGGCGTGGGGCAATATGTGGCGGTGCAATATGTGGCGCTGCTTCCCCGATATCAGTCTGGGCTTGTTTTACTATGCCTTTCATCATCACATGCAACAAACCTTTGACAATGATTTGGACGACTCTTGTAGTGATTCCATCATGATAATACGTGAAAATAACAATAAATTACAGTCCTGGCATTCTTTCTGTCTTTCCTTTTTTTTTTTTAAAAAAAAAAGAAGAAACAGAGGAAAAAAAGAAGAAGAAAAAAAAGACTACAGCTCATCATTATACTCCTTCACAAAATTCCCCCTCACCTCGTCAACCATCAACCTCGCCACATTCATTCCCATCAGAGCATTCGTCTCCATGGTCGATATAAAACCTTCCATGCCAGACGTGTAGAAGACGCCGTCTCCGACCACGGGATCCTGGAACGTCACGCGCGGCAAGGCCGTGGGGTACGCATAGAACGAGGTAGGATAGTACCACGAGATGGGGCCGCCGTCCCCCTTCCCCTTCACCTCGTCCACGTGTACGCCAAAGATGTCGGACAGGAACGTCGGCTCGACAGGCTCAGGCGAAAAGATCTTGTAGAGGAACTCCCGCCTGCCAGACCGCGGGTCAGTCACAGGCCGCAGCGTGCTGACGCTGAAGAACCCCGGTGACCCGGCGGCGTTGCCGAGGCGAGGCTCCTCGTCGACGGGCAGGGTGGTGTACACGTTGCTGGGGGCCTTCGATCCCGGCTCGAGGCCGAAGAAGCCGGGGCGCAGACGGAAGGGCGTGGTGAGCAGCGTGACGTGGAGCTTGGTGTAGTTGACGGCGTCGATCTTGTGGCGGAGCACATTCTCGTCGGCGCGGATGCGGCTGAACTGCCACGGCGACGCCAGCACAACCTTGTCAAACGATACGGGGTACCGCCCCTCGCTGTCCGTAGTGGTGATGGTGTATCTCTTGCCGTCACGTCCTGGCTCGCCGCCGCCGTCGGCGTCGACGTCGACGTCGATGGCCGTCACGGTGGTGTTGAGCCGCAGGGCCGCACCGCTCCGCCGCACCATGCCGTCAAATATTCTCCAGTTGCCACCCTCGACGGCGGACGCGCCCTCGGCCGCGAGCGACACCGCCGTGTCCACGCCGTGCAGGTGCGCCAGGTTGGAGGCGTAGTTGACGCGCGTGGCCGCCTGCAGTATCTCCCGGCCAAACTGCTCCGTGATGCCGTTCTGCTCCAGCAGCTGAGCGCCCGTCACGCCCGTCAGCTTGGAGAGCTCCAGCTCGTATGCCCTCTGCGTGAGCGATCGGAAGGGAAACCAAGGCTCCTCGTACAGGCTGAGGAACTGGTCCACCACGCGCTTGACCAGCCCCGAGGCCCGGTAGGGGCTCATGCCGTACCGCCACCACAGCCTGGCCGCGTCCCACCAGAAGGAATCGCCTTCCTTGGTGTCGTACACGATCCTCTTCCCGTCCCATATCGCCGTCACGTCGCCCGGATCCCCGTCCCGCAGCCCGGTCAGCTCCAGGTCGAAGTTGCGTGTGGCGTTGACCAGGATGGCATTCACCCCCGCAAAGATGCTCGCCCCCAGCTCCACCGGCTGCCTGTCATCGTCGTACACCCCTACCGTCAGCGTACGTCCGCCTATCCGTCCCGTCTTCTCGAATATCGTAATGTTGAAGTCCACGTCTGGGGATAGCTCTTCGGCGAACCGTTGTAGGTGGTACGCCGTTGACGATCCGGCTGCTCCGGCACCTTGTAACGGACTCAAGTCAGCCTGGAAAGACTCTCAGACGTCGTCAGGAGAAGAGAGGAGTCTCTCTGGAGCAGGGAATCACCTACCGATAATCGCTACGTTCCTGACCGTAGCTTCGCACCCCCAGATGCCAAGGGCTAGGAAGCCAATGATGGACCGTGACGTCACCGCCACCATCGTGCTCGGCTCAGATCTACTAGGAAGACAGATGGTCTGCTGATTCGATGTAATGGAGAGTTGGGAAGGCCAGATAGTTTTAGGTAGGAGCTTTTTCTGGGGATGTCAAGATGGAAACGTCGGTTCTTTCAGATGGAACTTGTCGTCGTAATGTCACCGCCTGTCACATTTCATTCATCCTGTTGTTACAGGTGAGCAATATAATCACGTGATTGTATTTCTTGTTTTCCTTTATGCGTTACCATCCACTTCCCTTCAACTGATATAAAAGCAAGAGTCCAGTTTGTCTTGATTATCTATAACCTCACGTAGTATGAGTGATACCTGAGGTGTCGTATTGTTTCGCTCTAACCAAAAATTCCGTTGACTGAAGCTATATCATACTACTCAAAACACTATCGGTAGATCACACATCGCACATCACATCGAAAATTTCACATAGTCGAATGCTAAAAACAGTCATCATAAAGAAAAAAAATCAAATAACAAATCTCGCTAATGCTCTTCGCACAAGGTTCTGACGAAGAGATAAAGCCTCGCCCAGAAGCAATAGGTGCCTGGGAATATACGAACAAACATGGCCAGATGATGACATGGTAAAGTAACCAGACTTCTCTGGAACAAGGATATCGAGAAAAAACAAACAAACGCCAGACATGGCCCGAGAAGTAATAATATGGCAGAAAAGGAAGAAAAGTGTGCAGAAACCCCCCCCGCCGCCGTGAAAACTCCTATCAATAGATTCTGTCCATGGATATATATAGAAACCCCTCGAAACTTTTTTCCACATTTCAGAGATAAGTTAGATGACATATGCCGTAATGTCCGCAGAGTAATAATAGATAGACAAGGGAAAGAAGAAGAGAAATGTAAGAAGAAGAGAAATGTAAGAAGA